GTCATGGTCAGAAGAATCATTGCAGGTGCATATAGGGTAAATGCTGTTTATTTCTTCAGGAACGTTGACTTTCAAGACACAATCACACTGAATCCAGTTGACATTGTGTGTGCTCTTCGTCCACCACTTCGAAGAATATCACTTTTACACCTGATCCTTCAGAATGGCCGACAATTGCCGCGACCTCTACTCCAAAAGCTATATGATGCGATCGATGACTACAATCACATCAAGCAACGGGAAGATCAACGACCAAGGTGGGGCATCCACTTGTCTGAAGCTCACATACTTGCGATTGCTGATACCCCGACTCCTGCTGATCGTGAACGTACCAATCCAGCCGCTGGCAAATCGAAAGCAGCCCCGAAAGCTGCACCAGCACTGGGAAGAGTGTCGAAAGCGAAAGCATCATCGTCAGCGACATGGAGAACAGTTGAAACCGCTCCTCCGCCAAAACAAGCTCCGGTGACCCCGCCAAAGAAGGGTGGAAAAGATCAAGGAAAAGGTGGAAAATCTTATTCACACCGTGGCGGAGACTGGAACCATCAGGGATACTATGGATGGGGAAATAGATGATTAAGCGATCTGACCTCTGCATAGGTCCCGATTGAACCTGGCGATGCGAGGATGCAATCGTTGCTCGAGATTTACCTCTACTTCATTTTGAATGATTTCTGAGAGGACTCTGAGCCGGCTAATTTAGAACCACACACTTTTTTGAACAACATTGCATGAAACGCTGAGTTTCTACAGCGGTCTACGTCTCAACCGACGAAGGGACGGGAAGGTAAACTTCTAGTTCCATAGTCAACTTTGTGTTTTGATTTCTTTAATTCACATGCTTGAGTGAGACTCCATGCTGGCTACGCCACATTGGACGAACCTCAATGCTAGACACCGACTACGTCGTGTCTACATGCACGTGAACAGAACCTTCATTTTTTTTGGTAGAGATTGTAGCAAGCCGCCATGTAGATATGAAGTTCTGAACGGACTTTAGCTCTCCATAATTCAATAAATGAACAGCTGCAGATGTAGTGGATCAATTCAAGGGACACTCCTTTGCGCGTGGCCGACAAAGTTGGCCATGCGTGGGGGGTGCGAATAGAGTGTAGGCTACGGAACACTGTACACTCCAACATAATTCAGCCCTCAAGGATCCACAGCCAAAGGGTACGTCAACTCGCCCCTTTGGCTCAAGACTACTGCAGGAACCGGAACAAAGAATCGCAATGCCGAAGCCGCTACCCGTGTGACGTCACCACTGAAACACCCATTTCAGAATCAAGTACCAGAACATAATCGGGGGGATAATCTCCGATTCTCAATAAATATATAAATATATATATATATATATTATAAATATATATTTATTTGTCTACACTGGTGTGTCATTTTCCATACTTCTTCATTGCCAAGTTTAGGCTCTGTCCTGTATCCAGCATTCTAGATCTTGTAATGGCAACTTTTTCCTGTGCCTTTGAATGATAGAGCTTTCGCTACACAGTGGAGAAGGCACGAGATCAGAGTGTCGCCTCCAGCGTGGTCTGCAGATCGAGGAGTGTTACCGCTACAAACTCTTCAGTAAACTGTTCGTTCAGTCAAAACATGCTGTTGTACGGACCACCCCGATTACTGCTTCAGATTGCTTCAGCTGAAAAGGAATGCAATTCTTCCCAGTAAAAAGTTACACCAACCAATGTGCCATATTCGAGCTTCATTTCACATCACAGCTGGGCCTGCTTTCAACTCATAAGGAGACACACATGAAGTCATGATTTTGACAATTTGTATATTTGGGGTTTTGTTTTCTTTGTGTCCTTTCAATTCCATTGCTACAGCTTGTGCTGCAGGTGGTGCGCAAAGCTGATCATGCAATGCATTTGCCTGGGACCCTGAGGATGGGCGCTGAAAGATGTGATACCTAAAACATCCTAAAACATCCTACTTGTACAACGATTTTTACTGTCGCTTTGTCGGAATATTAAGAAATGGCATGTGTAGTAGTATTTTTTTTCTTGGCCCTTGTTTTGACCCAACCAGCTACATGGTTGTCATATAAACTATCGTACAAGTATTTGAAAATGCACCAAAATAGTGGAATGGTTCAACCTACGGGCGCAAGGACCCTTCAGAAGTGAGCTTTGCGTTCCCTGCTGGCACAGCGATGTGGGAGGAAGAGATGAAAAGAATCAAAACACAATGAAAGAAGAGAAAACAATATAAAATAAAAAATAAAACGAGTTGGCTCTGCATATGCTGCTTTTGACAAGACGGTGCAAGAAGCTAGCCAAATTCGCCTGGTCATAATAATAACCGACATCATGCAAGCCCGGGGACGCCCGTAATATTCCTGCCTTGTGTCATGCGACTGGGATCCTGAGCAAGAGTGTTCCCGTCCACCGGCATGCAGCTGCAACTCTTGCGCCCTTGAGTCACACCAGCCATTGCGCGCTCTTGCACCGCCGAGCCGAACATCGGGGAGATGCTCTGTAAAGAGCTCTCCTTAGTGTTTGGTCGGGGGTCATGAGGGCGCATTGGCCAGTGACGCATGGGCGCTTCAGGAGCAGCTGCCTGCAGGTGGGCGGGATACTCTCTGCTCATGGTCGCCGGCGCAGGGCCTTGGCAGGATGAACGGGCGGCGCCGGGCTCGGGTGTAGTTGGTTGCCGGAGGCGTTGGGCTGAGCGGCTTGCAGCTTGGGCTTGCCCAAGCTGCGAGTCGATCGGCCCCGCGCTACCCTCCCAGCCCTGGGCTGCCCCGACCGGGTGATGGGCTTGTGGTATTGTACCGGCCACTCTTGTTGATAGCGGCGCAGAGCTGGCTCACAGGGGCAGCCCAGGGCCGGGGGGGAGGCATTCAATTTTTTTGAATATTAAAGGGGAAATTGCGGGGGGGAAAAATATCATAAAATATCAACAGAGGATAATAAGGATGACGAGAGAACTCTCTTCTACCCAGTTGGGAAGGCAACGCTTTGCGAACGGCTTTCAAATGGCATCAAAGAGTCAAGGCATTCAACCATGCACCGCAATCAGTCTTGCTTCCAGCTTGGCATTTTATTGTTTCTACTATCCGCGGCGCACTGTCCGTCCAAGCTCTTGCAAGTGCCAGCGAGACATAATTTGGAAAACCCATGACAATCTTGGAACAAAACTAATGGACTAATGTTGCAGCCGTATTGCACAGCGGCGTCTGCTATGGCGTGTCGCTGCCCTTGTCTGATTTCGCTGGAGAGGAAGAATTGCAAAGAAAAAACTTCAATGGGTATCATTGGAGTGGTAATTAATGTGAGAGGTGATGCCGTTTTTTCATCCTTGTTCGAATTGTGTCACTTGCAGTCTTGAATTCTCTCTTTTCAATGGAATGACGGCTAAGGAAAGACCCAATGCATTTTGTTGTGCAGATACTCTTCATTAAAAATCAATTGCAGGAATTCGTTTTTTCCTCTAACGGCTCACGATACATGGACATCCTACTTTGAAATGTCGTGGAATCGATCAGGGAACCGTTCCAAACAAATCACGCCAGGCTGTGCACTCACAGCAAAATCTGCACGGTTGTGTGCCACGACATGCTCAATAATCAACAAGATTGAAGCCAAACAATCAGACTTCGAATTTATGCGTTGAAAAAACAGTCAGATGAAACATTGAGGTTCATAGGTCTTGTTGATGCACACATTGCAGCAGATCACATTGAAAACGTGGAGTCAACCCTGAATTTGAATGCAGTTGTTATATCATCTATAGACCTAAACCATAATACAACATATACAACTAACGAAACTATGTGAAATTATTTCTGGAGGTGCATCAAACAGCGACTCTAGGAGCTTGCTCACTATCGCATCCATGTTGCTGCAATTTTGAGTGCCAGGAGAAATCAAGGTGCAATGCCCTGGCACTGAAAATCAACATCAGTTTTCTTCTCATCTCTTATCACTTGAACTGTTCGCCGTACGTAGGTTTTCACAATGTCTCCGGGTGTGGACACAAATAGTTTGTTGATTTTTCCATGTATGTTGTGTCCATGCGGCCTGCTCAGAATAGCATGTCGTTGATTTCCAGTTTGGACTAGGACAAAGTGGTGCATCACACGTGCATCACATGTGCATCACACATGCATCACATGTGCATCACACGTGCATCACATGTGCATCACACGTGCATCACATGTGCATCACACGTGCATCACATGTGCATCACACGTGCATCACATGTGCATCACACGTGCATCACATGTGCATCACATGTGCATCACATGTGCATCACATGTGCATCACATGTGCATCACATGTGCATCACATGTGCATCACATGATGATGGGGGATGGTCTTGGCATGTTTCCATAGTCTTTTCATCTCGCCTAGACAACCATCACACTGGAGCCATGACCGATTCCTTGCGATTCTATTGCTTCATGTTGCTGCCATCCTTGTCCACAGCTCTTCAACAAGTGGGGTGCATTGCTGGAACCTTATCTTACCTTGGAGGATCCGCTATGACATCTGTGACTTGCAAATTGTCGGCTTGGGATGCGTCAGCCAGTGGCAGCGAAAAGAAACTCTTGCAGCGCTGCCCAACGGGTTGCCCTTTGTGGCACTGGTCAAGGGTTGGACACATGCAGGCGTGCAGGCTTATGTCATGTGCATTGTAGTAAGTGAGTTAAGTGCTTTGCAGACATTCTTGTTCTATTTAGTGAAACTCTGACATATTCTGACATTCTTCCTCAGGTTCTCTTTCTGTGCGCCATGATGCGGCATGTGTTTTAGCGTGGCTGAGGCATGCTCTTGCAGCCATCTGTATGCGCAGCTGTGACATTCAAGTGAGCCATCTCTTGGGGGATCGTGTGGGTATGTTGACTAGCAGCACTGTGCAGCACAAACATTGCCAGATCAAGTGCTCGTGCTTTTTCATCCTTTTCCCAAGGGCTAGACTAACATAGACTAACCATATGTTCGACGCCCCAAAAGCGGATCTCTGAGTTTTCATGGCCTCGTATGGCGCAAGTTCTTGCGATACCAGGGACGAGCCGCTGCTGGCACTATCACACAGCCTTCCAGCGACCACAGGCAAGGGAAACGGACTGAAAACACCCCTGATATGTAGATAGGTAGCTGGATAGCTATATAACAGAGAGATAGATTTACTGTAGAATGATTTAGAGATAGCAATATATTGTACACATGTAGATATAGATATGGACTATGGATACAGATCCTACATGTATATTGGATGAATATGCACTTGCATATATGTATACATATTATGTTATATGTTTGTTTTGTTTTGAGCTCACAGATCCAGTCCTACGCGTACTTTAATCATATTTGATCATTGCTTCCTGGTTTTGGCAGACATCGTCATGAAGCAGTAGCACTGTTGAGTGGGGTTGAAAGCGTGGGAGAACCATGCAATGCACAGGACTTACTTGCCGCACTCCCATCCATGTTTCCTTGACTTCGCTTAGAGAATTCTCAAACGCACAAGAGAGTCAGTTGTAAAGCTGCTTGTTCTCATGACATGTTCATATGATACATGTTCTGTCAGCAACGCACACTTTACTGAATTTTACAGTTTTTTTTTACTTCAAGGTCTGACATGAAACAAGAGATGTTCTAAATAAAAGCTCGTGAAACTTTTTGTTGGTAGGCCTTGCCCTTCAAGTTCCATAGTCCTGCAGTTTTTTGTTTCGAGAGATTTTTTTTCGCAACAGTTTTCAACTGTATTCAAATGCAAATCAGCCACATACTCCCGGAAAGCGCATGCTGTGGTATGCGCTTTTGTTGTGCAATATGGTTCGGCAGGGCTCTCGACCTCGTACTATTTCTTTGAGTGCTGGAGCCACAGTGTTCTCCTCTGTGTCTTCGGTTTATGAAATCATTCGAATTGGATTTAAGGTGGCGACATGTGGCGACATGATTTGACACAATTGCATGGTTATGACATGTTATGACAACTGTTATGACACTCGAAAGATGTTGACTGTCAATATAGAATAATATAAATAAGCTGTTTTAATGAGCCCGGCAAACAGACTGTTCAAAAAGCTATGCCGGCTTTGGCTCTGAGGAGGTGGCAGGGCTTTTTGCTGTGCCTTTCGGTTGTCAGAGGCACATGCTGATAAAAACCTTCAGAAAGTCCAGTCGTCTGACAGTTTGACATGGTCTGACGGATTTGCGATTTGATGTTGTCTTAACTTGTTGCAGTTCTGTTCACATCGAACTGCCATGTCCAGTCACAGATTGAGACTGACAGAGCCCAAAGCAAAATTCTGCGTGCCTTTGGCAAAAGATGACAAAGCACAGGCTACTTTCTCGCAGGACAAGCATGCGAAGAACATCTGTAGGTGGCAACCCAGCTGTGCTTTGTGGACCAAGACCCCCCCTAGGCTACTAGTAGTGACACATAGTGACCAGGGAATGTGGAAAGTATTGTGGTCCCCAAGGAACAATCCCGAACATATGCAGATGGGTAATTATACAATATTAATAAATTATACAATATTAATAAATTATACAATATTATACATATCCAAAGGACAAGCCTTTTTGCAATTCTGCCCTGCATGGTATTGCCTACGTATTGCTTGTCTTTCAGCATGTTGAATTTGCCGTGGTGGCCGTCGAGACATTGTGTAGAATTCTACGATTTCTACGTTCTTCAGGTGCCTGGAAGCAAAAGCATCTAGCGGCATCCTCAACTGACCGGGTCAATACTGGAATGCCATGGTGTGTAGAAGGATATTTTTGTAGGACATCATGTAGTCTCGAGGTTTCCCATGGTTTCCCACATTTTGTGACTTTCAAAACTTTCCAACCATTCCAACACTTTACACAGTTAGAATTTGTCCGTTGCTTGTCCCGAGGCCGTGAGACTATCAGAGCTCCCGCGGCATCCAGCAAGAAATCCCAAGCTGGAGCAGTTGCTCGGGTGGCACTTAGGGCCAACAGGCCAACACTTAAAAGACTTAGGGCCAACGTGGGACCAACACTTTCATTGACACTTGGGACCAGCGTGGCTCGATTGGCAACGCTGTAGGCCTCAAATTTACCCCAACCTTCCATGCGGATACATCCATGCTCTTGGTACTCCCGTTTGAGTGTAGTTTCCAACACTGCGCCAATGCGCATTTTGAAGAGACCAGCTTAGGTATGCCACCGATGGTGACACTGCAGCATGCTGGCTCATGGGCATAGACAAGCAGGCCAAACAGAACGGTTGTGCTGAGACTTGCCCCACCTCATTAAGGTTGATGGCCGATTCAATTCTGCTAACAAACCGGAAAGCACGATACTGCTCCAAGCTAGAAAAATGAAAACAAACTGGAACCTTTTTCAATTCGCTTGAAACTCAAGAGCACTTTGTTTTTCCTGGCCAAACTCACAAATCTTTGATTTGCAAAACAGGATCCTTTCGCAGATCTTGACGAGGCACCTGTGCGTAATAGTTCAAAACTCCTGCCGCTTGCCAGTGTTTGTTCAGGAGCGGAACCATCAGGCAGGCTATAGCCCAACCGGGTTTTACATCTTATGTATGCACAATGTATTCACTTCTGCTTGATTCTCATCACTTGTTTGGCCGCTCCTCTGTCCTTGGTTTGTCACAGAATTCTTGCTACACCGACAGTTTGAGCCCATGCATCATCAACAAAATTTTGGGAACATAAGACAATTTTACCATTGGTGTCCTATAGCTAGATTGCATTTTTATGATCGACAGGAACAGCATGGGACATCCGTTGCTGCAGAATACAGACAGTTAGGGAAAAGGCCGAAAAGGCGGGTTCCCTTACCTTTGCCCATTTTGCCCTCCAAAAGATGCATTTCAAAATTTCTGGCGCCAAGTCCCAACCCAAATCCGTTAGGCAGTGGTGGATTTGGGAGCTGGCAATGGCATTTTGGGTATTGGTGCTTTGCTTCTGGGTGCGCCAAGAGCCATTTTCGTGGAAGTTCCCAGGCTGCAAAGAAGAGATGGAGACAGGTCTAGCGATCTAATCCCTCAAGACAAACAGAGAGACTCTTATGTCTCAGAGTCATCAAACGAACTCGAGTGAATAGCCTCCGATTTCCCTTGCATGAAAGCTGCTCTCATTAAGATGGTTGGATCCTGTGCGTGTGCCCTGAAACCCATCAAAGTTACCAGCAGCACAATTCATGCAGAATTGAGCGGCACACCTCAACATCCGAGAAGCTCCTTACGGTCGGAAGTGGGGACTTGGACACACTGGTGAATTCAATCATGGACTAGATTCCAGATTTTGAAGATATATCCTGCATGCAGTTTGTTCATATTGCATAGGTGAAAAATATTGACAAATTGTAAAAATATTGTTAACATTTGTTAACGTGGTTCAAAGATGTTCAAAGTAGGTAAGCCATGGCAAGCCTTTTTCCGCTGAGCGCGTCCCAGGTGGACGAGGCGGTGTGCGAAGTGTTGGAAGAGGCCTTGGAGAACGAGGACCTTCGAGGCCGAGCGCAGATTCTACGGAGGGATGTGGCAGAGGCCGGCGCCACTGCATCCTTGAGTTCCTTGAGGAACTTTATGAGTAACTCATATAACTCATACCAGTAGTGACATATAGATCATATAGTGACTTTATGAATCAATGACCTGATTATGAATGATATTCATTTTAATTGCAAAACAATATATCAAACGGATTGTAATCAATATAATCAATGAAATTGAAGAAAAGACCGGAACAAGGGGGAGTTTTCATCCTTTCGTAGCCTCTTGATTTCCTGCGTCTTTCATTGTCTTTCTACTGCATGCTCATTTATTTTCCGGCGCACTTTGGAGTCTTGGTATTTTGGTTCCTAAAGCCCGACTTGGGCATTTTGACAGCATATGAATGGGTAGTATGTATATGTATATGTATATGTTATGTATGTGTATGTGTATGTGTATGTGTATATGTATATGTATATGTATATGTATATGTATATATATATATTATATTACGTTACATTACATTATATTACATTACATTATATTACATTACATTATATTATATTATATTATATATTTTATATTATATTATATTATATTATATTATATTATATTATAATGATATTACATTATATTATATTATATTATATTATACTATATTATTTTATATTATATTGTGTGTATGTATGTATATGGACTGGCGCATGAATGTTACATCATCATTATATTACATTGTAATTAGCATTTGAATCTATCTTCTTTGCTCATTCAGGTATCACTTCACTTTCAATATCTTTCAACTATCTATGTGTTCGGATGTGTTTGGTATTTGTGCTTGTGGAAGGCCCAGATTGATGCAGCACCAGAGCTTGTCTTGATGAATCCGCCCTGGGGGCAGCAACGACGTTCAGCAGATCGTCCCTTTCTGGAGGCTGGGACTTGCAGCCGCCCTAGGACTTGCCATTGAAAGTAGCAGTTTCCAATTCTGGCGCCAAGCAGCGAAAAGTCATGCAAAAGAACTGCACGGAAGCAGAAACATGTTTCAAATTGTTTCAAAATATTTCAATGTATTTAATCTTTTGTGGGACCCGACAATGCATTGCGGGAGGCATCCATTGCCATGTCACCACGAGCGGTGCACCTCATGCACAGTCAGGACCTTACTCATATCCAGAGAAGGACTCGGAATCTAAACAGGCACCAAAACATCAGAAACCAACTTTTCTGTCTTTGGAATGTAGATTCCTTGGCTGTGCGCACTCTGCAACTAGAGTACCTTTGATGTAAAAGCACACGTCGCCACATTTCATATTCTGAAAAGCCCTCGGGGTTTTTGATATCCTGTCGCTGCAAATGAATTTAGAGTGACACTGTTTTGATACATTGTGCCCAAGTTATTCATTTGCATCCATTTTGCATCCGTGCATCCATGTTGCATCTGTTTTGCATCGTTGTGGCGGGCCTTGCGGTTATACCGTGATGTGGTCGCGTGCTCTCCTGCCCTGTGCTCAAGGCTCTGGTGCAGTGCATGTGGAGCCCTGGGCAAACGACATGGGTTGGCACGCTGTTCGTTGGCATTCCGGCGAAAAGATTTGAGCAAGACATAGCAAGACACTTTTCATATGTTTTCATGAACATGGGCGCTTTGTGGATCTTTGCAGAAGTTTGTGGATGTTTGTGGATCGTTGTGGTTTTGTGCTTGAAGTTTCTTGATCTTCTTCCAGCCCATCAGTGTCAAGATCCTCTACTGTTTAGGTTCCTGTCCTGGCACATATCGTAGTTCAGGGGTCCAAGTTGCAGTGGTTGCAGGTTCCTTTCTGCCACTTAGATCACTTGGATCACTTTGATCCACTTGCATCACAGGTTGGAGATGGACTTTCCATTGCCGCGCACCTATGCGCATCAGAGCAAGCGCCGAGGCACCTGTTTCACCTGTTTAGAGAAGAAGCTTTGAAGTTGACATGTGATAGACCCTGATAGACCTGCAACTTGCTGTGTGACGTGCACAGCCACGACACGTTCACCAAGCCAGTCAACGTGCCTCGCAGGTTACACAACAGCAGCAATGTGGAGGATATCGAAAGAGCCTCCAGCGTGAGACAAAAGCTTTGCGCAAAGACAGTCCAACTCAAAGCAACCTTTTCAAAAGTAAAACGACGCAAAAGGATGCAAAAGGCAAAAGGTCCAACAGTCCAACAGTCACAAAATGAACTTTGGTGCACTTTACATATCGGGTCTTGTGGAATGGCTTGCGTGTTTTCACGTGTTGAAATTGTCCTGGACATGATTGGACATGAAGATATCACAAGATGCTTCAGAATATTCAGAATTCAACTCATTTGCAGCCGCAAGCTCAAAGCTGATCTCGCTGCAATGGCTGAGACAAGTTTCTCAGTGGCATTTGGGTTGCCGGTTTGACTATGGAGTAAACGCGTCTGACAAAGAAAGAGAATCAGGAAACCATTCCATCGATTTTGGCATCTCTTATCATTACCAAAATCACTCCGTCATCGGAATGAGACACATTCCATAGATTTCGATGGATGATTGGATGCTTCCAAGTGCTGGATCGCATCGACATAGCAAGTATAGCAAGTGATCCTTCAGGGCTCCCTCTATCACAGCATAGAAAAGCTACAGAAACATCAGCAACTCTACTGTAGCTGCTGAAGTTCTCTTGCTGATCTTATCTGATCTTTAAGAATCTCTGTTTTGGAGTTCTGATAGTTCTGATATTTCTGCATAGTTCTGCATCTTTGTGAAACATGTGAAACCTTCACGGTGACGGCACCTCTTGGCGGTTCGATCCCTGCGTCAGAAAAGATTTCGGAGTTTTGAAAATGTTTGGCTTTGTGGAGAGAGATGTTTTTTCTGCGGATACCTGTATAGATCTGTATAGTAGATTATAGTAGACCAAAACAACGACTATGGGTACTTTTTGAATGCAATGGAGGCATGCAGGGTGCTTGCATCGCGAGATTTGGTGTCCTATGTGCTTCAATTCTTGTCTGCAAACATGGCCTTGCATCAACGACATTTAGTCATGCTTTCTTATTCAGCACACGTGTTGCATAAAAATGTATATAGCTCCACCTTCGCTATCAAAGGAGAGGTGTTTTTCCTGGTATCCTCAAGAGTGAGCTTTGCCAGTGTTAACTTGATTCTCCCTATTACATATGCTTAATACTCTTCCAAATTTACTCAACTTGTTGAGTCTCTGAAGCCTAAGAACTACGGGTGGAATCCCTCAATGCGAATACCTTCGCTTTGGGGACAGACAGCCCGCACTCGAGTGGGATGAGCCCAATCCGATCTGAATGAAACTTGTTGAAACCTGCATGAGGTTCTTCTCCGGGTATTTGGGAACGTTTCCTTACTGCAAGTCGTCCCAAAGGTGTGGAGACGGAGTTTTGCTCTCCCCGAACATGTGTAGTGTAAGGATCAGTCAGGTAGACCTGCGTTCACCCACTACCATTAGGCTCGCAGCTTGAATCTCCGATGAAGTAGTTGCAAGATGTTGCAAGTTCATTGAACAATGCGGTTGAAACTTTGAATTATGTTCTTCTAACACCGACTGATTCAGCTGGAAACACGTGTTCCATCCCGGGTCCAACACCAAGAAGATTTCAGATGTGCAGTGTGCAGATGTATGCAGTTGGCTTGCGTTGGCACATGGCACACATTGGCTGTTGGCTCGTGGCACTGTGGCATATGGCATGTGTTGGCACGTGTTCGGGGAGGTGACTTGGCCAGCTTGGACTTTGGCGCAAATCCAACTGGTTTGCCTCGGCGGCGAGCGCCAGAGCATGTGGACCTTGAGATTCTTCGAGGCTTTGGGTGTCGTGTAGCAGACCTTGGAGAACGGGGGTAACAAAGGTCCGGTTAAAGCTCGATCAAACGTTCACAATCTCTCGCAAATCCTTTGAAGGGAAAGTCCAACCCATTTTGCGGTTTCTTGGTGTCTTGGTGGTCACAAGTGTTGGACCATATTGGATTATTCCAGTCATCCATTGATGTGATTATTGTCCAGCTTGATGGATTTTCAAAACCTGCATGTTGGTAAGAGTAGTGCTTGTCTATGCAGACGGATGCAGACGGGGACCTCCTTTGTGACGCTTTCAGGTAGTGACAATGTAAGGAGGGCATTGTCTGAGAGCCCAGCCCCATTAAGCACCCGTGAGAGCGCTATGGAATCTGTCCGCAGGCGCTGGCAGGGTCAATTTTCTCCGGGAATTTCACAGATTCCACCTTGACAGAAGTATTGTCCTAAGGTGTAGTATGGTGTAGTACGTATACGATCGTATACGTAACTATTGTTCAGAAGTTGGGACAACCTGCAATCGAGTTGAACCAGAAGGATCTTGGAGTAGATGTTGCTGTCTTGATCTGTTTGGGCTTTCGCTCTTGATACTCTTGTTGAATAGATTGAGCTGAGTTGCAGCCTGAAGAGCACACCATGTTTTTCGGACGCTGGCCGTGTTTGAATCGTGTTTTTTAAATGCGGACACGCCTAGTGCTGTTTCAAGTAGGCTGTTGCATCAAAATCTTATTGTTGTATATTGTTGTTGTTTTAATTTGTTTTATGTTGTTTCATCATGTCTGATCTTTGCGTCCAGATTTGTCCAGGCGCTCCAAGACACCGCTGTCGGGGTATGGCGAACGAAGTCCTCCATGCAGCGCACGAGGCCAGAGCTCCAGAGAGCCCAGAGGGTGTTCAGTGATATGGGAAGATATAGGAAGATTATCAGGAAGATATGTCAAGATATCAGGGTTGTTGAAGGCGATTTGAGGTTTGAACAGGCATCATCCTGTGAGATTAGTGCGTTTCACTGCTGCAGTTTGCTCTAAAGTGCAGGAAACGAATCTGACGTCATTGAAGCAGGTGACTTGCCCAGGCGTCGGCTCTCAGTGCCTTGAAAAGACATGAAGTCATTTTAAATCTGAAATGTTCCAAACTCATGTGAACTCTGCATGAAACCAGGCTTGAATGCAAAGACCTTGCGGCAGATGAAAGATGTGGATCAGTTTAAGCTTTGCACATCAAACTCTTTGATCAAAGTTGCAGCAAGCCGCCTGGATTCTCCGTGTTCTGGAGCGCTTAGGAGCTTGCAATTGCGATGCAGAGTGGCCAGGGGGTTCGAGATGCGTTGTCGCCCCCCGTGCGACGCTTGCGTAGAGGCACTGAGACTGTTGGTATGTATGGTGCCATCAGAGGACATTTCAGACGCCCGTTCGGCGTCGCTATCAGAGTCATATGTTGTTACATTCTGAGACATTGTCAGCATTGATTTCTGGTACTAGTATGTTGGACTGTCCAAATTAAGCGTTGATAGCGGTTGATAGATGTTGATAGAGGTTTAGAGTTGAGATGCGTCGATAGAGGGTCCTTGTGTCAAGGCTCTCCACCGCGCCGCAGCCGCACCGCTGAAGCGACAGTGGGCATGGCCCCATCTGTGCTCTGCGGATATGGGGAGCGATCAGTTCCTCCAAAGCGTCAGCTTACGGTAACTTATTTTGGTTAGTATATACATGCATGTATATATAATATATATAATATACAGTGCAATTTGTTTGGATATGATATGTTTCTAAAATCGATACCAAAGACCACTTGTTCAGACCCTGAAACTGACATCGAAAGGTGGGAATCTGGGGCAGCTGATTTTAATCTGTTCATTTTGTCGTGGCTGAGTGCACTGAGGTCAGGGATGAAGGTGTTGAGATTCGTGACAGGGGAACGGCCTCTTCTGGTATCCCATGGCGATATGATGACAAAGGTGGCGGCAGGGCGTCCGTGCGTAAGAGTCATAAGAGTGGATAGATGTGGATAGGGCAGCAAATATGCTCTGATAGAGAGCAGAGAGAGGGAGAGAGAGCGTCAGCAGCAAAACGAAATAGAAGATTGGACGCATTTGCGCTCACAGCTTTCTGCCTCCGGCCTATTGGTTCACACAGGCATCACCGGCGGCACCTTCGAGACTGAAGTACCCCTGCGGAAAGTGACGCCCTACTCGCAACGTTTGTGGAGTGGTGATGGCGTTAAGGTCCTTGCTCTCGCTACTATTCGCTCTTACAGTACTGTGCAGCGATGAATGAGTAACTAGCAATGAGTCCATTCAGTCCCTTGATTTCCCAAACAAATCAAAGCTAAGCGTGATAATGTGCAATGATGTGCAAAGAAGAAAGCTTGCAGCTTGAAACTTGACCGCAGGAACTAATGACACCGGAGCGTCCACGTCGCACTGACCCTGTAGAGAACACACGAGACAAAACTGGAGATGGTGAATCTCAAGCTGTGGTGGATGTGGCAAAATCATCCGTACGAAGGACAGCGCAATCTGCTGGACACTCGCCGAGCAGATTTAATGTTTTTGATCGCAAGCAAAGAATAGAAAGAACATGTTTGAAGCAAGAGCAATGGGACGAGGTGAAGGATTGGGAACAGACAGATAAACAACTCGAACAAGGTGTGATAAGATCAAATTATCACATCCGGTTTTGAACTCTTGATTCACTTCTGGATCCTTCCTTGACGCATGGATACGTTTCATAGCAAGCATGAACATCACTTTGGCCGCAAATCTTTGGCAAGTCTTATTCCTACTGAGTCTCACTAAGTACACTACAAAATTCTGCGATGTGCTGAGGCCACCCCAGCCGTACCGTAACCATGGCGATATCCAAAGCCGCACGTGCCAGCGACCAGCAACTCGAGTCTGAAAGGCCAAGTCAAAAGTGCGTCCGGTGAGGAGATGTTTTGGTCAAATATACTTCAATATACGTCTATCTATGTATGTATGTATGCATGCATGCATGCATGCATGTATGCATGTATGCATGTATGCATGTATGCATCTATGCATCTATGCATCTATGTATCTATGTATCTATGTATCTATGTATCTATGTAATGTATGTAATGTATGTAATGTATGTAATGTATGTAATGTATGTAATGTATGTAATGTATGTAATGTATGTAATGTATGTAATGTATGTATGTGTATGTATGTATGTATGTATGTATGTATGTATGTATGATGTATGTATGTAGTATGTATGTATGGTGTATGCATGTATATATGTATGCATGTATGTGTATGTGTATGCTGTATGTATGCATGATTATGCATGTATGCATGTATGCACATGCCATGCATGTGTATGCATGTATGTATGCATGTATGTATGCATGTATGCATGTATGCATGTATGCATGTATGCATGTATGCATGTAATGCATGTAATGTAGTATGTATGCATGTATGCATGTATGCATGTATGTATGCATGTATGCAATGTATGTATGTATGTATGCATGTATGTATGCATGTATGTATGCAGGTATGATGTAGGATGTATGTATGTATGCATGCATGCATGTATGTATGTATGTATGCATGTATGTATGCATGTATGTATGTATGCATGTATGCATGTATGGATGTATGTATGTATGTATGCATGCATGCATGTATGTATGTATGTATGCATGCATGCATGCATGCATGTATGTATGTATGTATGTATGTATGCATGCATGCATGCATGTATGTATGTATGTATATATATGTACATAGATATACATACATACATACATACATATATATATACTGGAATTTTCTAGCATACAACAATGGACAATTCTAACCTCTTACATGTGAGGTGCACCTTTTGCCCGAGCTTTCTAAAAGTGCTGCCAACTTCAATTTGGTAGCGGAGCCCCTCGTAGGTTCCAAACTGTCCAAATCCTCCTTTTCGCCTAGCAATAGCCTGTGGTCTTCATCAACTACTTGGCTGGTCAACTGACCTACGCGCACTACGAGCTGGCCGAGTTCCTTGGCTGGCGACTCCATCTGGTTGCTGCATTTGGTGGCTTCGCAGGTGGCACGACACCGCACTACGTGCTGGATTTCATCGTCTGGCCCTGAGCAGGCCCTCTGGTTTCCTGGACTTTGCTGCATCTGCACGGGTTCTGAGCAAGCCCGCTGTTCTGGGTCCTGAGCAGGCCCGCGCTGTCACGGGTCTTGTGCTGGCCCTGATTCTTTCTGGAGCTGCTGCATTGGCCCTGAGCAGGCCCTGTGTCTCTTGGACCTCTTTGACTTCGAGCTGCGCTGGCCCTGAGCAGGCCTTGGATTCCTTGTACATCGAGCTGCTGTGCTGGCCCTGAGCAGGCCTTGGTTCTTCTTGGACTGGACTTGGTGCTCTAGGCCCTGTGCAGGCCACAAGCTCTACCTGGAGGCGATCTTCTTGGCCGTGACCTACGGCCAGACCGGTGGCTGCGACTTCATCCACCTCTGGGATACCCCTGGATGAGTACAGGAAGGATGTTCCTCCTGGATGGCAGCCTGGAGATCCGAAGTACCCTTTGAAGTCCTTCTTGGAAAGGGTGAAGATGTGGTACCGTCTGTACGACGGACCAGACGAAGCTGTTGGTCCTCTACTTGCAGGACGTCTTCGAGGACGAGCCCAACAGATAGCGATGAATCTTCGCCTTCCAGATCCCACTGGCCACGTGGACATCGGCGACAGCGCATTGGTGCGACTTAGCGTCGATGAGGTCGTGGATCCCTTGACGGGAGCTGTGATCCAGGCCGCAATCCCTAGTGGTGTTCAAGCTCTACTACATGCATTGCGCAGTGCCTTCGGTGAAGCAGAACAACTTCAAGCTACAAAAGCGTTAGAGGTGTTCTTCGAGTTCAGACGTGGGAGACTGCCAATCCCTGAGTGGAGCGTTCAGTGGGAGCTCAATCTGGAAGAAGCTGTGACGCATGCTGGACTGGAGGTGAATAGGTGGCCAAGACTTACCTCTACCTGAAGTCTTCGCAGTTGGGCCAGAAGTCAATCGATGATCTTCTCCTTCAAGTTCATGGTGACATGAGAAGGTTTGAGGAGCTTCGCACTTTGCTTCTCAGAATGGCCCATCGACATCCAGACCAGCAGACAAACCTCTACGAGGACACAGCCGAGAAGAACATCTACTACGACGACACCGACTCTTGGAGCTCAGTCACTGGCTCTTGGAAGGATGACTGGAATGGTGATTGGCCCTATGGCCCTGACTACGACGAGCTCTACGCTTGGTACGAAGGTTGGCATGATGATGCAGAGGCCTACTATGAGAATGACCACAACAACGGCGATCAAGGTGACTGGCAAGAACCTTGGTATGAAGCTGGATACGATGATGAGCCAGCTGATGCCGAGGAAGAACCCTTTGCAGCCCCTTCGAGCAACATGGATGAGAGCTACTACAAGGGCAAGGGCAAGTCACGCACTGGCTCCATGGGTTTGGGCTGCCCTACATGCGGCTCAAAGTGGCACAACACACACACACAGCTGCCCTTTGAACAGCCAACAGCAATCCAAGGGACATGGCACGTCCAAAGGATTTGGAAAGTCGAAAGGCTTTGGCAAGAACTATGGAAGACCAATGAGAAAAGGCTTTGGCAAGGGCAAGTACAAGGGCTATGGCAAAGGAAAAGGAAAACCCTACAAGGGATACGGCAAAAGAAGCTTCTGGTCTGATGATCTTCCTCAAAGCTTTGGTGACTACTACGGTGGCTCCTACCTCATGAACCGCCAGTCGGAGCCCCTTGAACTCAGTGATGGAGCCTCATCTTTTCCTTCTACAACTTCGATCATCAAGATGGACTCACCCGAGAAAGAGGAGATCCTGAACAAGAAGAAGGTGAAGTTTGAGGAACATCCACCTGGTGAAGATCAAGGAGAACAGATCCAGAAGAAGCTGAACTTTCCCGAATGTGAGACTGACAACATCGACAACTTCCACATGGTTCGAGGTGAGCGCATTTGTGGACTTCTTGTGGACCCTGGTGCTGCAAGCGGCTTGATTGGCACCGACACTCTGAAGGAGTTGCTTGATGCTGGAATGGTGCCAAAGAACCGCCACAATGAGATCTCTTGGGGTCCCAGTGCAACAACTGTCACAGGCATCTCTGGCCAAAGTGTCAGCACACTTGCGCGAGTCAGTCTTCCTTTTGCAATGCCCGATGGACAAGATGGAGAAGTGCCTGGAAGCTACACTGCTGACCTGATAGGTGGCCAAGGCTCAACATGCCCAGCTTTGCTTCCCAACACTTCGCTCCGACAGATGAGGTCTGCAGTTTTGACTCAGTGGTTTGACAATGGCGACGGCATCATGGTTTGCTCAACCAATGGTGAACGCGTTGATCACCCTGGAGCTCACTTGGTGGTACTCCGACTTCTGCTGACGGAGAGTGGACACTATATCCTGCCGATCAACTACGACCAGAAGGACATGGAGCTCACCGAGAACGAGAAGCTGCGCATCAAGACTATGATGCAAGGACCTCAACAACCCTGCCAATCTGCAACACTGGAGCAGTCTGGAACAGCTGAACCTTCTCTACATCAACCCCCTGGCAGTGATGACCAACACGACACCAAGCACAACGAGACCAACTCTCGACTTCGAGATGACCGATCCTCCAACAAGGAGAAGCTGCAGTTCGCAGCTGACAGCAACCCGACCAATGGACTTTGCACTGGAGCCAGCTCTGGACTTGTGGCTGGAACCAGTGATGGACTTTGCGAAGGCCAAAAGATGGTTGCTGAAGATGAACCTCCGATCCAGGTGCTTTTGGGAAACGGCTACAACTTGGAGTATGATGAGACGGAGCACAGCTACGAGGGTGACATCTTTCCTGGACACCTTCCTGATGGAAAGTTGAGGTACCTGCAGAAGATGTACAAAGCAGTACCTGAAGAATTCTACTCAAAGAGCAAGAAGACCCCTGTGACTCCAAGAAATGCCAGATCCTGGATGCGGAAGCGACGTGGCTCAATCTTTCACTTCTGGGAATGGTGCAGTGGCTCAGGGAGATTGTCTTTGATCGCACTACTTTCTGGACTTTGTGTACTCTTCCCCATCGACTACCGCTATGGCTGGGATTTGAGTCACCCTGAGCACCAAAGAATCATCCAGGAGATTGAGCACGACATCAACGGTGGACCTGAAGTTCTCATGGCGACTCCAACATGCCGACCATGGTCCATCTCCTCAACACGTCGCGATCTGGAGACAACCAAGAAGGAGAGAAATGAAGAGATGCCCACAATCCAGTTCATCAAGAAGTTCAAAGAGAGATCAAGAAGGAAGAAGGGCAATATCCTTGAACAACCTTGGTCCTCAGCATTGTGGGAGCACCTTCAAGACCTTCCTGGCGAACGACATCGCACAGATCAGTGCAGATTCAAAGCCTGTGATGAAGAAGGCAATCCGATTTTGAAGCCAACTGGATTGCAAAGCGACTTCCTCCTCAAGCACTCCATTGCACGCTGTGGAGGACATCATGGCCGAAAACATGGCTGGCTACAAGGAGCTGTTGGTGGAAAGAACCGCACGACCATGGCGGCCGTCTATCCCGAGAGCATGTGCAAAGCTCTGGTGAAGGACGTGAAAAGGTTAACCTCCTAGACCATCGCAACACCTTCCAGGACTACTACAAGTGCGAACGCTGTGCCATGGGTCGTGCTGCGACAGCTGACATGGAGCACAACTTTCTTCCTGGTGAATGTCGCTATGGAAAATGGCCAGAAGGTGAAGATCCAAGAGAGCGCAAAAGACTTGAACGAGAACAACAGCAGAAAGATGACATCTTTGACAGCCTCCGCAAGGAAGCGGTCAAGAACGAGAAGGTCATGCAAGGACGACTTGCAGCCCATCCTTCACTCAGCTTCAACAGTGAGCAGACAGCCATTTTGAAGATGTGCCTCATCAAGCTCCTTTCTGAAGCGGTGGACAAGTTTGACGTTTTGGAAAAGAGGAAGGCCAAGGACCAAAACTATGTCCACTGGCTCGAAGATCCTTCAGCCTTGGGATGGCTTCGCAACGTCTTCAAGGAGTACCTGGATGTTCAAGGAGCTATGGCTTGTCTGCAGCCTTGGAGCACTCCTACACCAGAGCCCCAGCTCACTGTGGAAGCTGCGCCTCTGAGACTTCTGATGCGAGGCAACATCGAGAGCTGGAATCCACACGCTGTTGAAGATCTACGTGAACTTTCTCTGAGCCAATGGCATGAGCCCCTGAACTTGGAGGATGACTGGCTTGTAGCTTTGTTTGGAAAAGATCCTGCAAAAGCCAGTGAAGCCTCATCGTCGTCCACACCATCCAAGCTTGCCATCAAGGACAAGATCGACAGCGATGATGATGAGAAAGCCGAAGTGGCTGTGATTGGCCAAGAACATGAACAACTTATACCTCGAGAAATGGATGAGGAAAATCCTGATGGCCCCGCTGAACATCCTGGCAGCCTCAAACCCATCTTCGACTTTCGTCGAGTCTTCACACGGCTGCCCAAGCTTGCTGGCAAGGACGACATCACTGCAAAGAGGCTCATCTTGGGTCTACATGAACGACTATGGCATGCAGGAAGCCAAGACATCAAGGCGATCCTCCAACGTTGTGGAATAATGCCTCATGCTGTTTGGCGTCTCACTGGTGATGCAGTGGCTAGCTGCCGAATCTGCCGACGCTTTGCTCGCTCTGGACGACGCCCTCAATATCGAGGAGCTGATCTATCCATGGCATTCAATGAGGTGGTCCAGATCGACCTGTCCTTTCAGGGGATCCGATATGGAAAGGGCATGAAAACCATTTGGGTGCCGAAGTACTCCAAGGGCACCCTCATCACTTGGACAGAAGGCCGTACCGGCATCGCTGTGACAGAGCACAACACGGACTCCATCATTCACATCAAGGAGCTCTTCAACACCGACATCGACAAGCTCTGCCATCTCTACTTGTTTGGCTATGTGCAGGTTCAGACTGAAGATTCGTGGATCTCTGCACGCATCTCTCGACAACCTCATGCACAAGATCTACAAGCTCCCAGGGATCAGCAGACTGCTGATGAAACTATGTCCTCTTCTACCTCGACAGGTGGTCAACCTTCTGACATCTCCATTGAGGAGATCAACAAGAAACGTGAAGGTCCTGTGGAGATTGTGGTTCAAGCACCTGAGAGAAAGAAGGCCAAGCTCCACCTGAGCTCACTGTGGTGGATGTGCCAAAGACCAAAGAAGATCCTTCTACCTCAACCTCATGAAATCTGGTTTGAAGAACTGCCGAGATGGATGAGAAGGAAATTGCTAACCTCAACAACTTCGACGCCCTCAAGACTTCTTCTTCACCTTCACTGCAGAACAGAAGCTCACCTGTACATCTACCTCTTGACTGGCGAGATCTACCGCGTTGATGAAGACACAGATGTTCTCAGCGAAGATCGAGTTCTTGAGAACTGGCCAGACTTTGAGGAGAGTGACAAGGCCGAGCTCAAGCAGTTTGTGGATGAAAAGGTTTTTCAGAAGGTGAAGCTAGACGAGCTTCCTGAAGATGTGGTTCTGGTTGATGCCACATGGGTGCGCAAATACAAGCGCCTTTCCTCTTCCAGCCTGAAGGCCAAAAGCCGTTTGTGTGCCCGTGGATTTCTTGATCCACAGAAACAGGAGCTTCCAACAAGAAGTACAACAGCGACAAGACTGAGCCAAAGACTGGTACTCTCCTTGGCGGCGACCCACAACTTTGACATCAGGTCCTGGGATGTCAGTGGTGCCTTTCTCAAAGGTTTCAGCTTTGCCAAGGTGAAGGCAGTTTTGCAGAGCAAAGGAATCTCATCTCCAAAGCGGAACGTTGTGATCATTCAAGGCCAACAAGGACTCCGGGGCTTGGAATGCAACAAGCCAGCCTACGGGCTGAACGATGCCCCTCTGGCATGGCAACTATGCCTCCATGAAAGCCTTGAGATCTCTGGAGGAACACAAAGCCTCCTGGACGAGAATCTATTGTTCTGGAAAGCTGGAGGCCGACTTCAAGCTGTCATGACGACACACGTCGATGACATTGCTGTTTGTGGCAACTCCGAGTTCCTGGAGAAGGAGTACGCTTTTCTCGGCGGCCGATTTGGGGGGATCTCCGTGCAACAACCTCCATTCAACCACTGCGGAAGCCGGTACAACAAGATTGGGTCAAGTTTCTCCATCGACCAACAAGAGTTCATCGACAATATGAAGTCATGGATTTCAAGGACCTTGGCGATGACCAGAGCAGACCCTTGACACCGGCCGAGACCTCCACACTTCGCAGCATCCTTGGAGGACTTCTTTGGATTACTGCGACGAGATTGGACTTGGTGGCTGACGTTGGAGTTTTGCAGTCGCGTGTGACAAAGGCGACAGTGCAAGACTTGCACTTGGCAAACGCCATCGTGAAGAAAGCGAAGATGGCGCAATACCGTGGTGTTGGCATTGTCTACAAGCACTTTCCAACGACCTCTCCATGGCGATTGGTGGCAGTGCATGACGCTAGTTCAGCATCCAAGGGCAAGGCCTACTCTCAAGAAGGCATCATGATCCTCCTGATGCAGGACAACCTCAACTTCAACTCCCAGGTGCATTCGACCACCGGTTTGGAAGTGAGCGAAGAACATTTTGGAGGAGCAGCACACATCTTGTTTGCCCACGGTGCCAAGGCGAAACGAATCAGCTACTCAACATCTGACTCTGAGACACTTGCTGCCATTTCTGGACTAGAAACAGCTTCGCTGGTTGCTCTACGTTTGGCCGAACTTTTGGTGCCGACCGAGAAGCCGACATTGCAGCAGTTAGCTGCGCTGCAAGAAGCTGGAGTTCCTTTTCTTCCCGTCGATGCGATGACGGACTGCAAGGACTTCTACTCCCTTACAACTGGTGGCAGTGCTCTACCACAAGATCGCTCTCAACGAGTTTACATTTTGGCTCACCGTGAAGCCAGACTCTGTGCACGACTACGTTATATGATACTTATGCCAACTCAGTCAATGGTGGCAGATGCGCTGACAAAACCTATGCTGAGCAAGCAGCTTCTACATCTACTCTCGACTGGTTGCGTGGAGTTCCGCAACGAAAGTGGACATCCGCAAGACTTCCTCCAACTACCGATTTCAACGAAGATGATTTGGAAACTGGTGACAAGAAGTGGATTGGAAATCTGATGACGATGGATGAGATCAAGAACCTTCAAGGTTTTTCTACATCATGGACGAGCTCTACACCCTGGACATCAAGATCAAGCTTCTGGTTGGTGGCCGCGCTTTGCACTTTGCAGATCAGTCGTGGTCAAGCAGAAGGAGACACATGTGATGGACACAACTCCGATGAGGAGCAGAAATTCGAGTTTCAGAAGGCGGTGATCTACATCATATCCGCCGTGTGCATGTTTTTGTGCCTGGCTGTTTGGTATCTCTGGAAGTGTCTGCGAAGAATGCAGATGAGTATGGATGACTATCAGCGCCAGAGGATTCAACCGCTGCTTACAGCGAACCTGGTGGACCGCATGTTGCAAGCTGAGCACAACATCATGGAGGTACAGCTTCAAGCCAATGAGACAGTTGAGGACATCAACACCATCTACCGGACCTTGAGACGACGAGCTGGTCCACATCCTGATGAACGCTCAAGTTCCAGACCGAGGATGACAGATTCTCGACCAGTGCAGCCTGAACCAGATGCCGAGGCTGACGAGACCAGGTCGCACAGTCAACCTGAAGTGGAACGAGCATTCGATGAGACAGCATCGAGATCTCGAGACGACAGTCCTTCGGGACCCAACTGCAGTGGTGAAGGAGAAGAAGAAGAATCAGAAAACTATGTGTTTCAGTGGATGAAGCCGTTATTGAAAGTCATGATGTTTCTTCATCAGATCGACAAGGTGTGACATCAATTCTTTTGGAGAACACGGCAAAATTGTTTGACGCCACATCCATTGCTGGATCATTGATTGCACACCTTGGCTCATTTTGTGATGGCCATCTTTCTTTTCGTATGTCTGCAATTTTTAAGGTACAGTGCAAGAGAAGAGTGGATAGCGTAGCAGCAAGTCCAAGAGAATATCTTGTAAGACGGCCAGCCAAGAACGTTATTAGCCCCCCCTGAAAGTTGATAGCGCGTGGCAAGGTACAGTGCAAGAGAAGAGTGGATAGCGTAGCAGCAAGTCCAAGAGAATATGTTGTAAGACGGCCAGCCAAGAACGTTATTAGCTTCCCCCCCAAAACCCCCCCAAAAAAAAACAAGAAACAACAATGCAAAAATCAAGAGTGTCTTGCAAGTTAAAAAAGAAGTTGATAGCGTGTGACAAGGTACAGTGCAAGAGAAGAGTGGATAGCGTAGCAGCAAGTCCAAGAGAATATCTTGTAAGACGGCCAGCCAAGAACGTTATTAGCCCCCCCGAACCCCCCCCAAAAAAAAAACAACCCCCAAAGAAAAAACAATGCAAAATAGTGCAACGTGCGCGCGCTCCTAGAGCCGCCCACACCAAAAAACTCCACCCCAACACGGCCGTCTATAAGCCGTGGTCCAACTACACAACTACACTCCACTACACTCCACTACACTACATTACAGTACACTACATGACACTACACTACACTCCACTACACTATACTACATGACACTACACTACACTACCTTCCACTACACTTCACTTCACTACATTACACTACACTACACTCCACTACATTACAACTACAACTACGACTACACAACTACACTCCACTAGGCTCCGCTACGCTAAATTACACTACACTACACTACATTACACTACACTACACTACATTCCACTACACTCCACTACGCTACACTACATTACACTGAATGACACTGCACCACAGATAGACAGATAGACAGATAGATAGACAGATGGACAGCTAGACAGATAGACAGATAGACAGATGAGAGAGAGAGAGAAAGAAAGAAAGAAAGAAAGAAAGAACGAAAGAAAGAAAAGAAAGAAAAGACAGAAAGAAAGAAAGGACAGAAAGGACAGAAAGAAAGAAAGAAAGAAGAAAGAAAGAAAGAAAGAAAGATAGATAGATACATAGATACATAGATACATAGATAGATAGATAGATAGATAGAACATAGATAGATAGATAGATAGATAGATAGATTAGATTAGATTAGATTAGATAGATAGATAGATAGACAGATAGATAGATAGATAGCTAGGTAGGGAGAGAGAGAGAGAGATAGATAAATAAATAGACAGATAGATAGATAGACAGATAGATAGATAGGTAGATAGATAGACAGACAGATAGATCAGTAGGTAGGTAGGTAGGTAGGTAAGGTAAGGTAGGTAGGTAGGTAGGTAGATAATCAGAGAAAGATAGAGAAACAGAGAGAAAAAGAGCGAAAGAGAGAGAAAGAGAGGAGACCTCAAGCACCTTTCGGTCCATCAGTGGCTTCGCTCTGCCATCCCTGAATCACAACAACCAACCTCTCCTATAGGTTTCCTATTTTTGAAACTTCCGCCACCGCCTTGTGCGGTACTACTGGTATGTTATCATATGTTGTCAGGTTGTGTGCAAGAAACATCTTGGCGCAAGGTCTCGCTGCTTGGCGAAGTTTGACAGGCAGGAATGGGATGCAATCTGGCGATACCTTACAACTGGCAAGTTCCATTGGGACAGATGAGACCAGATTCAGGTCTGGACACCTTAGCATTTGAAACAGCTCTTAGGACTTTCTAAATCAATGTAAATCAACCATTCTTGGAGATTCAGACCTGTCGGTTCAGACGGTTCAGATAGTTACAACTTGTTTGGGTTGTTTGACCTTCATGGATGATCATCGTTCTTGGTTTCCAGTTTGTATGCAGGGATGGTGTCAACATGCCCTGATATGTTTCAAGATGTCTCCAGGCTGATCATTGCCGCGGCGTTGCACTGTGTTGCACAGTGTTGCCGGATGTTGGGGTCGTGGGCTGCATTTGCACAGCGTTGCAGGTTGTGCACGCCATCACGGAGCCATCCATCGCAGGTGCGTCCTGCGGAGGAGGTTTGGGGCCGCGATACCAGGGAGATCCATGACACCTTCAGACCCATGGACGCAATTGATGGACACCGAACGGCACAGAAAGGCACAGATGGAGATGAAGAATGGATAAGAATGGGAATGACATGAGATGAATCATGCTTGAAGTAGATCTCCATTGAAGCTTACACATGCTTACACCTACACATTTCTTCTGCTCTGAAGCTTGATGGGGAGGAGTGGGAGCTATTTGAATGGCACTTGTTTGACATTGAAACATATTCAAGCCATTGAAGTCGCTTTTCCCCATGCGATGCCCAGGACCGAAGAGAAGGGTCGCTGCACAGCAACTTGTCATCAAGTCTCGATTGACCAAATGATTCACCAGAGGAAGATCCAAGATCCAAGGCTTCAGTCGGCTTCAGTCGGCTTCAGTCAATTGAGTCAAGTGTTTCAGAATGGCTCCATGTCAATGTGATAGTATTCCGTGGTATTCCATACTATTCCAAAGTAATTATTCCATATTGTTCCTGTATATTCCCATACCATCCACAAGACTTCCCAGTCTTTCGATATTTGTCATTTTTTTTCTATTCCTGCAACCTAGCAGCAACCTAATTAGCGGCTTAGCCAGATTATTCTTAGCGGATATTCGCAGATTGCAAGGCCAGTGACTCAGCCCTTCGCGACCGACGAGACGCCAGCACCAGCGAGTCCTGCACCTCGCTGCCGCATTGCTCCGCAGATGATGCCATCGTCGTTATTCCTCGCCGGGGTCTCAGTCCAAACGATCCGAGACTCACCGGCAGCGTTCACAACTGGTTGTTGCATCATAGTTGCATCTCGCTCATCTTGTTGCCTCTGTTCTTGCGGATATCATGACAAACTGTGCCTCTGGGATTTCAATCTCCAAGAGGCATCTCGCTTGAGTACGCATGGCATGCTCTTCACGATTTGTGCTGACTTGCATATTTTTCTATTGTGCTCTTGGCTGCCCACCAACCTGACATAACCTGACAATCAAGTTGTTTCATGTTGTTTCTATTTGTTTTCTACGGTTCTTTGAAAGCTCCACCGCCAGTGATGGGCGGCAAATGTTTGTGTGATCGGCAGTGATCGGTATGAAGTTGCAACGGCATTGAGCACGACAAAAAGATCAAATTGTCACCATCAGGATATCAATATCACGATACACGAGAAAGGATTCATCAAGGAGGCAATCCGTTGATGGTCAAATTGGTCAAATTGCATTGAGTCTGAAACATATTGAAATCCGTTGAAACCAAGGGAGAGGGTCCAGATCCCTTGCGTGGTTCAGACCGCCACGCTGAAGCACGCCGGACATGGCAACTGGAGATGGAGATGGTGGGGCAGCCAGGGCCAGGGCAGCTGCCTATCACTATTTAAAATATTATTTTCATCTATTTTCATTTTGTTTTCATTTATTTTTACCCGGCACTGCACTGCTGATGCTTGTTCTGGACATTTCTGGATGCCTGCTGTCCAGTGTGTTAGCGTGAAATGAAATTTGAACATATCTTATGAAACTGAATGAAACTAGACATAACTACACTATTCAAAGCGGCAATTCTAGATACGCCTTGACTCAGCCTTGACACCTTCCTTCAGTGCCACACCATTTCACATGGACTTGAAGAAAATATGCTTCAACAAAGCATGCGACAGGACTGGTCCCAGCGGTTGGTAGAAGCAGTTCGATTTGTAGCTACAAGCCTTGATTTAATATTCAATATGTAGCAAAACGTGACTTTTGAAACCGCAAAACACAGCAAGCAATCGACCAAACGCGCCGCACCACCTCTTTTTACATTTTTTTTACATTGTATTCATTTGCACTTGGGATGCAGGCGAAGATTGCCTTCGCTGCTGGCCGTGTGGCAGTCGCAACGTCTCTCGCATGCACACCTCGTCCAATGTCTTGCTATGGTATAGTACCACGATAGAACGAACAAATCGCGGCCATAGATGTCATCGATTTTTTGAGACTTAACGTGTCTAGTGTCAGTTCGTCTTTTGGCTTTGCCCGTTTTGGATTCGGAACTCTTGTGGTGTTGCTGCCGGAGTAGTAGCCCAGTTATGCAAGCTTCAGTGTTCTAGCCGTTACTAGCCATTCTATATTAGCATTTCATGGAGACGGCTCATGGGAGCATATCCAGCAATGTGATCATTGCAGTGCTTGAGATGTTCACATTCGCTCAGGATAGCTAGCTTCGTAGACTTTGGATCGCTTTTGCAACCGGAAGTTCCAGCGAGCCATAAGTAAGACTCCGCTACAATGTTCAGAGTTTATGGTGTTTATGATCCAAAATATTGAGATTTCAAGAATCCAAATCACACTGCCTGAATTATCCAGAATTTCTACTGCTATGTTTGACTTAGATTCTTGAAATTGTTTGTCCCGCGGAGCCAAGGTGTTCGCCTTCGGATTCCATCCGCTCCAGCCGACCAACATCGCGACCACAGTCACGTCCAAGGCCGAAGGAGTCACAGCCAAAGCCAACGCCGCAAGAGCCACAGCCGCAAGTTGCTTGACTCACACAGACTCACAGACTCACGCAGTGACAGCTACAATTAACATTGACATTGAGTAACATGATCGACATCGATGAACATTGATTATATAACATCTATAAAACTCACATGAGCAGCTCACATGGGTGATTTTACATGGTTTGTACATGGGTTCTGCGGTGCGGCAATTCCTACATTGTACTCTGCAGCATGGGGCAGCTTGTGTTTGATGGTTCCGGCAGGGAGAATGAAGGGGCAGGAGCAGATTTCTGAAACATGTCACCGCACCTTCAGTGTGCATATCCTGCCCTGCCCCCCCAAAACATGGATGAGTCCTATGTCCTATGGAGTCCTGCACGAGCCTTCTTCTTTGTAGTTGCCTGTTTTGTGAAGTCATTCAGCAGCTTCCACTCAGAAGCAGGTGATACCCCCAACTACCTCCAGCCCTGCCATTATCGTGAAGCACGTGGACGAAACACAGCCAGCAAAAGAATGTTCTATCTTGGAGGAGAAGGCCAGTTCGCTGCTCCTTTTCGAGCCACTCTTGCAAAGTCTTGCAAATACAAAACCATACAAAACCAAAAGTCTTGCAATCTGGAGGACATACAGCGCTGACACTGCAGCAAAATACTTCACTTGCTGACTTGGTTGACTTCCTTCTTTTGTTGTCCTGTGGTTGGAGCATGTTGGAGCTGCTTCAAAGTGTCAAGGCCTCTCCACAAGCAGTGGGCAACGTGGTTGAGATGATCGACAAGATCATTGGCAAAGAACTGGACATCCCCAAATCTCAACCAGAATCAGAAGGATTCATCACTCCGCCCACAGCGAGGGAGACGAAGGAGGGGCTCCGGGTTCAGTGCCCGTTTCAAAAGCAAGAGCAACCAAGCTACTCAGTAGCTACTCCTTTATGAAAGGTTGCAATCCCAAATACTCAGGTAGGCGACACTTGCTCGAGGAGCTTGTGACATACTGAAGGGATGTGAAGAGGTAGAGTAGAGGAAGACCTGGGATGAATTTGGAAATTTGGATCGAGCCATGCTGCATCGACTGCGTGAGGCATCCGTGGAGCCTGAACCGGAGTCTGCAACTTCTCCAAGTTCCCCATATCCGCGATTACTAAGCTGTGCACTCGAGCGTGTCCCTTCAGTCGCCAAGAGAGAGAAGGCCGGCCAGAATCTGAACCACCCAGAACAAATGAGCAAAATTAACAGAGAGTTAACAAAGGCGAATCAGAATAGATCAGAAACCAAGTTTTATATAACATGTTCGGAATTCAACACTCAGGATAGTGAGGGCGAAACGTTTGTGACCACCTCTACCCAAGTTTTCCCTACAGTAGGGGATGGTCGCAATCAACCCAGTTTCGCATCCACTCAACATGGGCTTTTCAAGGAATCCCTGTAGCAGTGGGTGCAAGGGTCAAGCGCTCCTGCATGCAGTACTTAAGCAAAAGTGTGGGCAGTGTGGGCGGGCTTGAGACAACAGCACCCGCTACTCCAGAATCTCTGCGATTCACGCTTGTGAAATGCATGTGTAAACTAATGTAAACATGTGTAGAATATGAAAATTTTGAAAAGATATGAAAAGATGGCCGCCTGAAGAATCACGAAGTGTTTGCAGGCACCTCCAGTGGCAAGGAAGCAGACACCAAACGCAAAGGCTGGATGTGCCGATTGCATTTTCATTGGCGTTCTTTGTTGCTATCAACACTTGCAGCCGCTTGCATGGATTTCTTATGATTTCTCGCTGCCAAATGGCAGGGCAGACACCTTCATCAAGGAAGACAACCGACCCTGCGTTGCTGAGAAATGAGTGAACAGGCCGGGATGCTGTGAACAAGACAAGTTTTGTGCTGTTTCTTTTAACAACCCTGTCCCGACATTTGTTTGATCTTTTGAAGAGTTGAACTTTGCAGAATGACAAAAACTTGGTCGCATTTCCTGCGCTCCTTTGTCAAATCGGTCCAATGCCTTCCGGAGCGCACTGCTCCACCAGTTGCTCAGTGCGCTCACCGCGAGAGCAACAGCTGTGCCAAAAAGCAGAGAGTGAATAATGATGAATAATGCAAGTCTACCACAAGCTATCTCACGTGCTCTTGGAATGCGGCTATCGTTGCAATGATACAATTGCATTGATATAAATCGCACTTGTTTGCACCATTTGTGTCATAGATGCAGCATGTCAGTTCATGTCAATGTGCGTTCTGCTTGCAAAATATTCACTCGCACAGCTCAGAGACACGAGCTCTTCGACCCTTCGGCCTACAAATGGCCAGCCGTCGGATGAATTCGACCAAAGACCTGAGTGCGCAAGTGGCCTTTCCCTGCTGGCAATAGCGGACCTTTGCAGGCTACAGACCCTTGCGCGCGGAAAACCGCAGTTTCAGCCTGTCTTCCAGTAGAATGTTGTTTGTGAGATGGAAGTGCTGCATTGAGCAATCGCTTAGAGACCATTCTGTTTTTTCCCCAACAGCAAAGCTTTGCTATGGGGTCTTTAGCCCGCTCCGGTGCAATCCGGTGCAGCTTCAACACCAGGTTCCAGACAAGGTTCCGGAAGTTTCCGGTGCAGGTACTCGGTGAGGTTCCGGAGGGTTCCGGTGAAGATACCTGCTGAGGCTCCGAAGGGTTCTGTGCGGTTCCGGAGGGTTCCGGTGCAGATACCTTGTGAGGTTCCAGAGGTTTCCGGTGTAGATACCTTGTGAGGTTCCGGAAGTTTCCGGTGCAGGTACTCGGTGAGGTTCCGGAGGGTTGCGGGGATACTTGGTTAGGTTCTAGAGGGTTTTGCTGCAGGTAAGTTTCCGGTGCAGCTACCTGATGAGGTTCAGGGTCTAGGTGAAGATGTGTGGTGAGGTTCCGGAGGGTTCCGGGGCAGATACCTTGTGAGGTTCCGGAAGGTTCCGGTGCAGAGACCTTATGAGGTTCGGGAGGTTTTGGCGGAGAAGATGTTTGGTGAGGTTCCGGAGGATTCCGGTGCAGATACCTTCTGAGGTTCCGGAGGGTTCTGGTGCATATGCTTTGTTAAATTCCAAAGGGCCCCGATGTCTTTTATGGCATAAGCATTTCATTTTTTGGGCATAAGCGCTTAATTTTTATGGCATAAGCATTTTTTTGGCAAAAACACAGAAGCTTTGAAGCTGTTGGGGATAGCACCTGAGTTTATTGCTTTCTCATGCCACCATGATAGCCAGCATCAATGTACGAGCTTCACGGGGATGCAATTGGCAATTTGCAAAGCAGATGAAAACAGGTGCGGCAATAGACAAAATGCTGCTTCCGGTAGATTCTGTTGTCAGACAATGTCAGGCATATATAATATAATATATATATACATATACACACACCTTGAGAACCCAAACCCGCAGAAATCTTAGGGCTTGCAAAATACCCGAGCTTTTCCGACAAAACCCGAGTTTTTTTTTTACCAATTTTGAAAGTACGGGTTAGGTACGAGTTAGGTACAGGTTAGGTACGGGTTTGTACAGGTCAAGTACGGGTTGGGTACGGGTTAGCTACGGGTTCAAAATCAATATCCGAGGTCTTAATCGAAAATATCGAAAACCGTTTGCGATTTTTTCGAAATACCTCAGGTTCTTGTGTTGACCCGAGGAATTCTTAGGGTTTTGGTTCTCCAGGTTATAAATATATATATGTGTGTGTGGGTGTGATATTTCAAGGATTTCAGGGGTGTGAAGCAAAAACAAAAAAGATAGAGTCCGAGTTTGTTTATCCCAACTATCCAACTATCATATCCCATCATATTCCAATTATATTCCCATATTGCGTTCTTAAAACACAACAAACATTACCCTCTGTAATGTAAAATCTGGCGATTGAACAGAGCTATTGGGAAAATGTAGGCCGTCCGGCGTTGCTCAAAACTTGAAGGCTCCCCCTTCCGGTGCAGCTTTTGAGGGTTTATCACCTCCCAGGGCGTATCGATCAAGGCTTACAGTAGTGTGGTTGAGAAAACGATTGGAAGACACGGCACTCCTTTGCACTTACCAATCAGCCTCCGTTCCTGCAAGAGTGGCACTTGACTGTGCAACGAGTGTTGGTGCGACGACAGTGCCCATTGTTTGTCACCAGGAAAAGGCTGGCAGGTGCAGAATCTCTCTGCTTTGAGCCCAACGTCTCGGTCAAAGAATGGACATTCTGTTTGAAGCGCTCAAAAGTTGTTTCGGCCAGGGCGCCAGTGAGCTTTCAACTGCCACGAGTTGTGAACCATGAGTAATTAATTGCATTTGTGTGTCGCTTCGCAAACCTGTGATGCCTCCTGCAAACCCATGATAGCCTACGCCCCTACTGAAATGCAACATATCAACGGAACCTTGTTTGAATTGTTGGATATTGCATCTAACTGGCAGCACAGACTCAGATCTATGCTAAGATACAAAGCCTGGGGCGAGACAGCTTTTCGGAACAGGTTAGACATGCAGGATGCAGCTCCTGAGCTCATTGAGCGCTTGGTTCCCGTTTGACGCCGTGGTCGCCGCGGCTGTTGGCGTGGCAGGCGTGGCACTTGGTGACATCGACCTTCACTTTGCGTGGCAGGCGTAGCAGCATAGCACTTGGCGACCTCCACGTCCACTTTGCAAGGCAGGCGTGGCACTTATGGCATTGGGCTGGCTCTGCACTTGGCGACATGGACGTGCATTCTGCGTGGCAGGCGTGGCACTTGTGTGGCACTGGGCTGCCACTAGTGTTATGTTCATCTCAGCCAGCCAGGGACTGGAAATCATGTTTTTCATTTTTTCCTTTTTTCATTTTGATCATCATTTTTTTGGCTTGAAGATTATCATTCCCTTTTTATCCCCGTTAAGTTTTTTCATTATTTTTTCATTCCTGATTTTCCTCCCTTTGGCATTTTCATGTTTCTTTCCTTTGCTTCGAAAATGGTCCTTGGTCCTAGGGAATTGCCAAACGGAGCTTTTTCTCGAACCCTTTTCGTCTGTTTTTCGATTGCCTTTGCGCTTTAGCTATTTTTCTTTCCTATGCCTTTAAATTTGACCTGTGGAATTGCCAAAAGGAGCTTTTTCTCGAACCCTTTTCGTTTTTTTCTCGTGTTGGCAATTTTTCCTTTCTTTGCCTTTAAAACTGACCTGGGGAATTGCCAAAAGGAGCTTTTTCTCGAACCCTTTTCGTTTTTTTTTCGTTTTGGTAATTTTTTCCTTTCTTTGCCTTTAAAACTGACCTGGGGAATTGCCAAAAGGAGCTTTTTCTCGAACCCTTTTCGTTATTTTTTCGTTATTTTTCCGTTTTCCCATTTTTTTCCTTTCTTTGCCTTTAAAACTGACCTGGGGAATTGCCAAAAGGAGCTTTTTCTCGAACCCTTTTCGTTATTTTTTCGTTATTTTTCCGTTTTGGCATTTTTTTCCTTCCTTCGCCTTTAAAATTGACCTAGGGAATTGCCAAAAGGAGCTTTTTCTCGAACCCTTTTCATTTTTTCATGTCCTTTTTCATTTTCATTTTCGTTTTTTTTTTTTTCGTTTTTTTCTTTTTTTCATTTTCGTTTTTTTTCGTTTCCTTTTTCATTTCGTTTTTCATTTTCATTTTTTTCGTCCTCTTTTTCATGCCATTTTTCATTTTCATTTTTTCGTTTTCCTTATCATTACATTTTTAAGTTTATTTTTTCGCGTTTGTTTTCATTTTCTTCGCGCAGTTTTAGGTATTTCTGACTGAATCAAAAACTTTATGTTTCTGATGTTGCTTCGATTCATTTTCGATGCTGAAGGACCACGCTCCTTGGAAAGCTGCGGCGAACCATCTCATGTTTTGTTATTTCTCAGCTGGGCTTTGCGGCTTCCTTTCTGCTCCATTCAGCTCTTCAAATCGTGAAGAGCTATGTGGTTTTGTCTGCGTGTTATACTCGCAAAGGTTGTTGTGATCACATGCTTGACTTTTCCTTGTCTCTTGCTACATGATCATCAACTTGCGTTTCAAATTCCAAAATTCTGCTGTAAATAGAGTTAGTTGACAAGAGTTAACCTGATGCGTACTTGTGACAGTCGTGAATTACGACCCCATAAGAATTGTGGCCGGAACTTTTGCGTTTTCGACTTCGATGTTTTTCTTTGTGTATCTACTAATCTAGAAGGAACAAGTATGAACATGATAATATTAACTGCACATGAGGGAAACACGATAAACAAATGAGAATGAAATTTCCACATTATTGGGGAGACAAAAAAAGGAAAATGACAACTTCACATGATCAGAGAATGATATGAAACAGGAAAAAAAATGAAAAACAAAAATGAAAAAATAATTTCTTGGTCCGGACCCAGTCTGTGGCTGTAAGATTCTCATAACACTAGTGGCGCGCTTGGGTCCTGTTTGGCGCCCTTGTCGCCCCGGCTGTTGGCGTGGCAGGCGTGGCATTTGGCGGCATCGACTGCCACTTTGCGTGGCAGGCGTGGCACTTGGCGAACATGGACCTCCACTTTGCGTGGCAGGTGTGGCGCTTATGGCACTGGCTGGCTCTGGTGGCGCGCTTGGTTCTTTGCGCGGCAGGCGTGGCACTTGGTGACATCGGCCGTCACTTTGCATGGCAGGCGTGGCACTTATGGCACTGGGCTGGCCCTGGTGGCGCGCTTGGTTCCCGTTTGCTGCCGTGGTCACCATGGCTGTTTGTGTGGCAGGTGTGGCGCTTGGAGACATCGACCTTCACTTTGCGTGGCAGCCGTGGTACTTGGTGACATCGACCTTCACTTCGCGTGGCGGGTGTGGCACTTATGGCACTAGTCTGGTTCTGGTGGCTTTTGTCACACACACGCACACACACCACTTTGTCACACACACAACTTTCACACACAACTTTGTCGCACATTTCTTTCACACACAATTTTGTCACACACAACTTTGTCACACAAACTCTTCCACACAACTTTGTCACAGATTCCTTCCACACACAGCTTTGTCACACAACCCTTTCACACACATTTTTGTCACACGCAACTCTTTCACACACGACTTTGTCACACACATCTCTTTCACACACACAACTCTTTTACACACATGTTTGTCACATACATCTCTTTCACACGCAATATTTTACACACAACTTTGTCACATACAACTCTTACACACACAAACTTATACACACACACACACAAAACACTGTCACACACAGCTCTTTCACCCAACCTGTCTTGCACCATCGCCTTTCCTTCCTGCCTTTCCCATCTCATTTTCACATCTGCTTGGTGATCATTGGAAAAAATTGACATGTGGGGTTATCCGGTCCTTTAATTTTATGAGATATTGCAGACAAGCAGACAAAGAGCTGCGCTGAAGAATGTGCGAAGGTGTTGTGAGGTAGGTTGCATGGCGAGGCCATCGTGAAAGTTTTGCAAGCACTTGTGAACGTGCTGGCATTTCCAAACCTAGCCCAAGCCATTCTGGATCCAGCAAGGTTAATCCCATCACACAGTTGTGCGTTCTGAGGGGCTACACGGCAGTCATGCCAATCGCATGCAGCATCAATCATTTTTGCTGGCTTGGACATGAAGATCATACTAGTAAATCAGCAACAATTTGTGTTTCGATCCGATCAAGCGTTTCACCTCTCTACAGAGTCTCTACATATCTAGAGAACGTTTTCCCAGACCATTGAAACGCTGGTCTGGGAAAGCTCAGAATGCTGGCCGTTCTTGTCGGTTGCAACCATCATGAAGTTTCTCAGAGAGGCAGCGCAGAAGTAGTGGAGCATGTGCACATTGAAATTGAATCTTACTTGTGTTTTTGTAACATGTTTTGGCGTTGTTGCTTTACAGTTGCGGCAATCTTGCGCAGCCAAGACGAAACGTAACAATGAGTCCAATAGAAATCTGCATTGCAGGCTTCCAATAGCCCGCCAAATTATGTTCCTCCAGTTTTTTGGGGGTTGGAGCGTCCAAGGAGGCTGCCGGACATGAGAAGTTCTATGACTTTTTGGGACTTACCATGGAGACGCATTCTGTGGGCCGCCCAGTGCTGGGTGAGAGCTAGTTAATTGGAAAATTTGAAATGTCAGCACTTCCGGCTGCAGGAATTGTTTTGTTTGTGGCGAGCTGAAGTTGCAAGCTGCTGCTTTCCCAAGGCTATTCCTCTGTTCTTTTCCTGCAAGTCTTCGAATAAACTGTGGAGCTCAGGCCAGGACCGTTCTAGACTGAAATACAACTTAATGTCAAATGCACGCAACCTAAGGCATGTGTTTTGCATAATTCGGATGGTTGGTTCTTTCCTTCCCAGGAGGCGACTGTATTTTTTGAAGACTCGCGGGCAAGCCCGACACATGTGCCGCGGAACCATTCAGAGCACTTCGGAGAAGCACAACCAGGCAAAAGAATTGATCGAGTTGGCGATTATATGCGATTATGAGTCAGGGGGTGAGATTGACACGGCCAGGTGATGTGTACATGAGGAAACACAGCCGCAGTTGAGATGTTTAAGTCATTCAGATTGTTCTTTCAGAATTTTTGACTTCCTGATAGTAGTTTGATTGTAGTTTGTCTGTTTGTCTGTTCGCCGCTTACTTGTGCCAACCAAGGAGACTAAGTAGTGGTTTGGCGGCCGTTACCAGCCTTTCGTTCACAGACACAGATACTAGGGTTTTCTTCGTTGGTGGCACTGTCTCGTGGGCATCATGGCAGCACCTCATGATGTCAGCTCATCAAGTAGGCCTATTGTCAAAAGGTTGTTGACTTTTGCTGCATTGCACTGGCTTGCAAAACAGCAGCGCTTCTGGATCATGAGATTGTCACATGCGTGTGCGGAGGTTGCGCCTGCAGATCTTACTGGCATCGTTCAATACCACGTTCGGTTGAACTGGGATCTTTCTGACACATCGGTAAAGACTCAACTGTTCGACACAGCCAATCCAGCGCCGTGCCCAGGTTGCATTCGGTCTCACTGGGTTTTCTGTTCGGAATTCTGTCGCTATTTTTTCCTTGTTGAACCCCTCTTTCAGAAATCATCAGGTTAAGCGTTCGTTTTGTTTGACCAGCAATTCATGCCACTGTCCATGGACCAGGCTTGTGCAGAGACAGTTTCTCATTCTGCGACTCTTAGAGGTAATAACAAAATTGAGGTTGTGTTTAGACATATCAAATTACAAATATTTATTACACTATTTTTTTACATGTGCGGAAGGAATATTGGGAATTGTTTGCCATGGTCATTATTAGAACACCTATATAACTCAACAGAACAACTGGGGTATGGACATCTTCGAATGTCACCATGATCAGTGTTTTGTGCATATACGGTATTTGCGCAGCAACTCTTGGAAACTGGGAAAGTGCAATATTCCGCATTCCACAATCGACGTGCAATGACCTGCAAAAGAAGCACAGCTTTGACTGCAAAACAAATAAGTGCAACAATCCTTTTCAAGGAAATGTGATTCCATACCCCAACAGCACACCTACGGGGTTGTCTTGATGTGCATGCTGCATGTCCAACTAACCGCACACGAAAATGCAAATCCATCAAGACAGCGCGGGCGCGGCCTTGCAAGAAAATGTTGTCCCCTTCCCAAAAAATAGCATTCAATAAGGACAGGTGGCGTGCATTTTTTTAGCGAGCATGGGCACGCGTCAAGAGATACTCCTCTTTCCTGAAGGAATGCAGCATGTGACTAATCCAAAATGCTTCACTACAGTTCTTCCAGGATTAGCAGTGTGGAAAAGTGACAATTTCGTTCGAGGCAAACACCGCATCGAGGAAAGGCTCCGTACACTATCTAAAGAGCATCCAAAAGAAATGGTGCTTCACTTTTCGGATTTCCTTGGATCAGTATTCCCCAAAATTGAGCTTCTTACAATGAATGCTACAGTCTTCAGCAGAAAATATCTCAGAGGATTCGAGCATTTCCTACAATAAATATCAATAAATGAGAAGCTTTCTGAAAGTGCCTCGGAGGAAAGAATGCGTAAAGTTTCTGAAAGGAGCACCTCCTACAATAAATGCACATTGCTTTTAATGCTGCACCTTCTCAACAACATGTAAATTTCTGAATTGATAAACAATACATTTGTTTTGGAAGTTTTACTTGCTTGCAGAGCTGTACTTGCAGAACTGTACTCTCTCAATGGAACAGGGTGTGATTTAAACATATTTAAACTGAACGCTTGTACTGCTTCACTTGTTTGTTTAGCATGTACATACGAATACATATATGTATATTGCAATATGGATCTGTTGTACGTATACATATGCGCACATTGTGTGAGCATTAATCCTAAGCTCGTCAGGATCCTGACGGTTTCAGCCAGCTTTGATTGCCACATGGCAAGCTTCTGTAGAAAGGGGGCTGCCGCCACTGACTTCCAGTGCAGAATGGCAACTGAGGTGTATGTGCGTCTTGGACCCAACAACCAATTGGCTGTTTGGACCTAGTGAAACAAGGACGCGTACCTAAGCGATGATTCATGAAGTGAATTCAAAGAGTGCGTTGTATGTCTGCAAGCAGAATTTGAGCAGGAGTGATGATTCCCTTGACCTTGCTACCTACCCAGCAGACCAATATCCTGCGCAGTGGCTTTTTGTCGCTTGTTTGATAAGTAGTTTCGGTCAAAGTCTGAAGAAGTTATATAGTTATATACGTATCCCAAAATGAGTCCTCAAGAATCTTGGCGTCATTGTGGTTGCTTATATAGTGAGATCCAATTCCTGCGCTTCCTTTTGCATCTAACTTCAATTCTGCAAACCGACGCAGCTTCTGCAAGTGTAGTCAAAGGCCAACTTCACCCCCCTGCTGAGCCAACTGTTGATTTTTTTCGGGGTGCTCTTTGAGGTTTTATCTGCTGGGGCTTCTCCAGCTGGCCAGCTGGCAGCTGGAGATCCGATACAGACAGTTTCAGAAGCTACCCACATGAGACTGATTGTGTGTTGCTTAGCCTTCGGAAGTTTCTGCTCTAATTCAGTTGGCTTTGATCTTCATCATTTGGATCGGCTGCGCCTCAGGATGTTCAAAGCACAAACCTTCCAACTAGCCTCCAGCTCGAGACATTGAACTTCATGGTGGGTTGCGCAGTAGATTTTGTCTCGATGTGGTTGAGTTCTGCTGCAAAACATGATTTGTTGGCATGACTGAAGGAGAAAGCCTTTGTGAAAGTTTGTTTGATTAAATTCTGCAGGGGCATTATTGTGACATATTGTGACAATGCGCCACTGAAATCGCTTCTGGTGCCCGCTCTTCTGCTCTGTATGAGCCACTAGCATCAAGTGGGAATCCGTTTTGATGAGCAGGAAAGCCGTTGGACCTTTCTGGATAGTTTTTCTATGTTTTTCTTGCAATGCTGGCAGCCAACTGGGAACGCGCAACTCCTGCGTGCTTGCATCCACTCTGAATCGCAGCTCAATGCACTTGTGACGACGCGTCCAAAATAATCGCGCTCGACGCATCAACATTTGCGCAGACTGTCACGATGTCAGAATAAAAACTCTGACTGGACGCACTTTTCAGCAGCGCAACCTGCACTGCACATTCATGCAAGCAAAGAAGTAATGAAGTAAGGATTCAGGCAGAAAGACTTGCGAATAGATAGAAGTAAAACGTCTCTGCTATCCTTATGAATCTGCTTTTCACCCCTTAGCCACTGCTAGAGCGGCTTCATCAGACAAGATAAGATCGCCGACGACGCCTAATGAGCTTTGTGCATTCTTGCCGAGGCTTTGTCATGTATAATTGGAACATACTCCTGCGATCTCCTGCGTAGTTTGTGTGCATGTGAATGAAAAATGTACTTTTCACGCGGGTTTGCGCATACCTTCTCTGAGGGTTAGTAACGGTTAGTTGTGGCGTGGGCTGCCCAGAAAGCGCCATCGTTTTGTGGTTTCACACGGTTGATGGGTGGTGGACCATGTGTCAATGTCTATCTTTGGACGGGGGCGACCATGTTTTGTCATGTCGTGAACAACTTTGTCCGCATGAATAGAAATTGCTTAAGCTTATGCACTAACACGATCTACCATGGACAATTCATTGCTCACGTCCGTGCGCTTTTTTTTTTTGTAATCTCTTGTGACTTTGCTGAAGCAGGATCAGACAAACCCTGCCAACTCTGGCACACATGTGGAAGGCATCTTGGATTGGCCAGACACTTATTACTTGTGACCAACAACTATTTCGAGGCTATGGGGTCCGGGCTTGCCTTGTGCCGAACCAAGGACTACTACTGGACCTGATTATCCCCAAGTCTCTGAGGAACCGTGGATTTTTTGGGCATTCCAGAATATTCCAGAGCATGGCTTCTCCAACAAGAGTGCATTACGGAAGGACTGGGGCCTCGCAGACTCCTTCGAAGTCTTTTTGGCCGAGGACATCCAAAAAAATGCATTGAGTCGAGGGATACTGCACCTACAGGGGCATTTTGTTAAAGCTTACCATGGTCTGAATCTCACCGAATGCAAAACTGCTGCATTATCCGGCATGATTAATGTGCGGAATGCAGCTACATCACTCCCCATCATTGCGTTCTTGACAAACTTCAACCACCATGTTTGATGTTAAAAAGCAGGGCAAAGGCTCCTGTCGTTCAGTAGTTTGGGCAGTTTGTGCACTCGTCCAACCAAATCTAAAGGTTAATGATACAGTAATAGCACAAGGCTGTGTCCAAAGATGATGTATTTCGACAGTATCACCCACAAATTGCAATGATATCTAATTTGGATTAATTTGGAGAAAGATGATAATCCATTGGCTGCCTTGAGACAAGCCCAACAATACGATGCTGGCTTTACTTGAAGCTGCAACTGCAGGCCGGCAGCCTCAGCGGGACGCTCACGAGGCAGTGTTAGTTGTGAGGTGATGGGTGTATTCTTTGACGATTGGAGGATGTTGGCTCACTAGTTGGATATTTAAAACAGGAATCGCAGCAAGTCCTCCTAGCATGTTTCCTCACGAATATGACAAACCACTTATTTGTGGAAAGATCATCCTGTCTAGGCTCTTTCCTGAATCAGGTCTTTGGGCACAGTTGCGATTGGCACAGCATCTGGAGTGACAACACGGCAGTTGACTATTCCAGAGACATTGTTTGCCACTAAGTGCCATTTCGGTCTGTCAAACATTGCATGGCAGATCCACTCGCAAAACCGGCGGATTCAACCAGCAAAAATGGATTGATATAGTAATGTACTGTACCCCCCAAGAATTGATCAAGATCGCCATTTTAAAGGGGAAATGATGACACACCATTGGATTTGTCCATTTTTGGCAAGCCCATTTTGAAGGTGAGACCATGTGAGATAGTTGGTTCCAGTGCGCAGAGAAACAGAGCTTCACTCAGCCACGCCGAGTCTCCTCATAGCTGGCGCCTACTGAGGCTCAGCGGCGCCGATGCTTTCGTGGTGAAGGCAATAAATTCTGTTGGTCAGGCAGGCACTCCAAGCCACAGCAACGATGTTACCACTGGTGATGAGCAACGGTTCATGAATTAATAATGACTTTGCTTTTGCCCACAGCCATGTTTCTCTAATCTTTGCTAAGCAAATTTTGACAGCCCGCTGCGTGAGCAGCGTGGCAATCAGCTGCCACCGCAAGCAGGCCCCTCTAAGCGCATCTCAGAGCGAAGTCTTTTTGTTGCCAACCACTACATCCACCTCAGGTGCAGAGATTTGAAGCCTTCGATCACCCCGCTTCTTTCGGGTGAGTCTTTTCCTTCACGGTTCTCCTTTTGCTGCAAACAACTTTTCGTTGAGGAAGTTTGTTGCTTTGCCTTCGCGATACATTGCCACAAGTATCTTGCCTTTTTCCATGGTACCATTCTTGCAGTCACCACCACTACCACCATCCTATATTCGTTAGCGGGTTTGCAAGTTGGCTGCTCAGAGAGTGGATTTGGCTTTTGCTGCTGACAAGCATTCTGCATTTTGTAGCTGGTGATGCGGTTGAGGATTATTCACTGTGTTATGTAAATGACTAGATGACTGTTGTTTTTTGCATGGACATCAGAGCCTGCAAACTGGCTTCTAGTCTCGAGAGGTGTGCTCAGTGCAGTTTCAGGTCACCTTTTCCGACACCGACACGAACCCAGAAGTCCTTTCAGGTGAGCACCAATGGATACACCGACTGCTACAGTCTATTGTGCCGGGATGCACCGGGATGCACCGGGATGCACCGGGCCCTTGCCAGGTGTGATCAGCTGGCAGGAACCTCTGAGCACCGCCGAGATCACGTCGTGCCAGCGCTCAGAGAAGTTGTCGAGCTCGGTATGTCGAGGTGGCGACAGTTTTGGATGTTGTCCTTCTAGGGCGGGTCGGGTGGGCCGGTCGGGTCCAGTGTCCCAGTTTTGTTCTGAGGGATGACGGATGACATGCACTGGTTACTGGTTGATGTTGTGGTCCTCCAGGCTTGCAGTTGCCCAGTTAATGTTGAGGTTTGTGTCTGGAGCATATTGCAAAGATAATTTTTCAACATATATTTTCTGTGTTGTAGGTGCTGCGGCTGTTACTCCGTGATTCTTTTGCCCGGGTCACCTTGTATTGGGCTGTTGCGGAGTTGTCCGAATGGCTGTTTTCATGATTGTATTGGACAGCCTGTCGGAGGTGCATGATGCTCTGTAAATCTGTCCAGAAATCAATAAACATACATGTAGAATCGAGTAAACGACAAAATTATCCGAAAACTCAAGTAGTGGGGAGTGCACATGGGATTTTCCAATTTGCGCGAAAACATTCACGACCGAGAAGGGACCACCCGCTTACCGATACCCTATTTTTGCACATAGCATGGAAGTAGGAACCTTCACAACCGATAATTACCTGGTGCTATCATGAATTTTTGTGGTTGAGCATGCAGCTTTGAGCTAATTGTGATGAGAATATGCCAAGATTGTGGCAGTTTCCACACTTCGTTGTGACGGATGTCGTGTCAACGAGCAGCTGGGTTGGCGCAGTGTACTTTGCTGGATAGGGCAGTCTCCGACTGATGCGGTTGCCATCGCTTGCCGGTCTTTCGCAGTCTTTTGCGTGTCAGTGCTCGGATCCTGTTATTTGTAAGTCATGGCTGGCTGTGATGGTGGATGCTCAATATGCCTGCAGATTGACCGATGTCCTCAAACAAGTTACTGCAGGACTCTTACAGTACTCATTCATGTGTTGAAAGGTTACGGGTTCGTTCGGAAGTTCAACTACAGTCAACAGTCATGTACTCAGCTGATCAAGGAAGCTCAAGATTGAGGTATGCAGTCTATATGTCCTATGAAAGTGCTGGAAGCAGCTCGGCAGCAGTCTGGTGCTGTTTGCAAAGGCTGCTCAATCCTTTCTGGACTGTCCGCACCATAGGTCAAAAGCTGCTGATATCTAATGCTGTGTCTCCACCAGCCACCAGCCTCACGATATCTGGCTTGATGAGACAGCTAGCGGCTCAGTCACATCCCTTTTGACTTTGAGTACTGGGTGTCATCCGGTCTCCCTGGGCAGGACGGGCGACCCTACTTTCCCGGCCAATTGGCTTATAGTTTATCCGATGGTACAGGCGAGCTGTCAAGTCTTCAACTGCTACATTCCAGTACTCAAACGTGGCTGGCTGGCAAATACCACACCAATTCGGGCGCCATGAGAAATCATTTGATAAGCTTGAGGTGTTTGAAACTTAAGTGCTGCCGTAGGGATGTTCCTTGATTCGATATGGGTGCATGAGCACACGCACGCGCTGTGGCAGGGGGCTCTAGCACCTGTTAGCATGGCCGCATACGTGGAACTGCTGCAGCCACAGAAGACACGGAAGACTATCCTTTGAGTGTCGTTCTAGTTTGACAGAATTGGTTTAGGTGGAACTTACGGGACGTGTCTACATTTGTTCATAAGAAAATATATATGTCAATCAATATATATATATATATATTATATATTATATATATATATACACACACATGTGCCCAACCGATAGTTGCATTTTCGTTTTCCCATAAACGAGTCCATTCATGAATTCGTCAAAGACTTGCCTTGGGCTGTGTGCATTTGCTGAGAGCGGAGAAGAGTAAGGTACGATGACAGGGGCTCTGCACCCCCAGCACCTGCTTTCAGTTCGGTAGACTTTACTGATGAGGAACCTTGACTGTCAGTTCTGGTTTTGTGGTGTGTTCCAAAAAGATAATCGAAAATGGCGTGTTCCTGGGAGCAAAATGCAGCTGTTGAAGTGATGTAAGGACAAGAAACACCAAAAAATGCATGAATGGAATTGAATGGAAGCCTTTGCCCTCAGATGTTGCCAGGATGCAGCAGGAGGATATGCAAGTGGGACAGTGAGGCCCAACCTCAAATCTTGGAAGTCTCGGATGACAGATGGGTCGACGGATGTTAGATGACTGATATTGGATTACTGGTAGCGGCTGATGAGACTGCAATTGAACATATGGTAACGACATTTAAATATGTGGAGGGCGGGCCAGACCGCAAGGCCCCGGAGGTAGTATGAAATACCAGTTCGTATATTTAAATGTAGCCGCAGTATCTTTAAATGAATTGGATTCCGTATCTTTAAATGGTTGGGCGGGCCAAGGAAAACCTTCCCGGAGGTAGTCTAAAATACCTGTTCGTATATTTAAAAATCCGTATATTCACGTCGCTTCGCGACGGCAACCGCCCGCACCGCATCGTTGGGCAGCCGCTCGTAACTGCCAATGATGTCGGCCATTGAGACCAAAAACATCCGAAAGTACTGATTGTCGGAAAAAAACGCGAAGAATTTGATAGCCATGTATAGCGGACCAACGCAGTTCAAAAAATAACGAAAAACATGAAAAAACGGCGAAATTGCTGTTATTTACAGTGTTTTTGCGCGGTGAGAAGCAGAAACCACTGCAAATACAATGGTTTTTGAAAAACACTGTAATTTACAGTGTTTTTTAACCAACGTCAAAAAACACTGGTATTTACGATGTTTTCATTCACACCGTAACATAAAACAGTGTAATTTACGAGGTTTTTGGAAGTTTTGAAGCTAGCCGTCAAGCATGCAGAAAACAGAAAAACACTGTAAAAACTAGTGTTTCTGCTATCACAAAAACGACGAAAATCAGTCCGAAAACGGGTCCAAAAACTCAAAAATCCGCCTCCGGGCCCGGCCACCTGCGGAACCGCAAAAAAGATGTTGCAAACCAAAAAATTGAGGTCAAAAAGTTGAAAAACACGGGGTTTTTTCACTTTTCGCTTGCCGATTTTGGACGGGCGCGTTCACGAACAGGTGTCTTCCGTACTGTTTTTTACAGTGTTTTTTGAAGGCGAGCGTCCCGCCCTATCAAAAACAGGAGGTTTTGGCCGAAAAATGCCCCCCCCCCCAGGTAAACCTGTAACCTTTTACGAGTGCCATCCGGAAGATCACGCCCCAGCACCTTCGGTGCGGGCGGATTTAAATGTAGTTCGTATGTTTTTGTTTGGAATGTTTGGATAGTTTACCCTTAGGCTCATGTTCCAAGCCTTTGGGTGAAATCATTGTTGCTAACATGGGCTTTGAACTCCTTCTACTACAAACAGCAATCTCTCCCGCACTGCTTTTTTTCATTTTACACAGATAAGCAGTCTAGAAACAACTACGGTAAACAGAAGACCTGGAAACCGCGACTTCCCTTAAAGCTTGTGCAAGCACCGTAGGTGGGTACTCGACGGCAATGTGGATCTTGCCTACATAACTGAGTATGTGGTGTTTATTGCAGCTGATCAGGCACGGGGCAGAAACTGTCGACACACTGAGATTCGGCGGGAATCTATACCATGCTACACCGCCTATACTAGTACTGTATAACGTGAGTGATCGGCTGATGATGAAGGCACATGGAAGCGTTGCAATTCAATGCCTTGGTGTGGGTTTGTCTGAACATGCATGAAAATGGCGTGCGTATACCTCCAAACTGCTTTTTAAATTACAAGGACCATGGTTGAATCCATTCGCCTTGGACATCTTTCGATCTGTCTCATTATACTCTATTGCAATGCTATTGTAATGCTATTGCACTATCGCAATACTATTGCAATCATGAACATGGTAATCCCACATATTGCCATATTGTTTCAGTTGCGAACCCGCCAGGCTGGCACCTCTGCAGTGCAGTTTGGAGATCCTGTCCCCGTGGGCACCAACGAAGTCACGGTCATAGACACAGGTGAGACACAGATGAGACAGGCTGAGATAGGTATACCGGGTACCGATGGATACAGTGCAATGGCCTGACAGCGGCTTGACACATCATTCATCAGGGTGGGATGACCATTGCCCAATTAAAATAGCTTTTTCCGACAGGTAGCGGAAATGGTGTCTATATCGATGCCAACTACCATGCGCAGATCTTGGTCGGCTGAGATCAGCCAAGAGACCATTGAAGAAGTGCGATAGTGATTGGTGTGAAAAACTGCGAGCTGCACATGTTCTTCCATGCCCCTGGAAGTCTAGGTCATCATTTTTGCTCGCAACCCTTATGGCAGCGAAGCAGGTGCATTTTTGCAGTGTCGTATGATGAATGCAGTTTTGGACAACCATTTGGCTGCCAAAGGATACATTGGCACGCCTGGCGTCACATCGTTTGTATTCAACGATGTTGGCTCTTCTACCAGTACCAGTGCGACACGCTCCAGCTCCAGTACCACGTGCGGTCCCAAGCTTTTGTTTGAGGTCAGAATATTCATAGCGCTTCGCCTGAACGGATTGCCCACACCTTCAGCTGAAGCGTGCTGAAGCTGTACCTTGCTTCGGTCGGCGCTGGTGTTTCGGACGTTTCGCACAGGCTCACCTTCGAGCATGAACTACTTTCAGCGTTTCTTGTAGGCCCTTTCATTTCAACAGCCAGCGTAGTAACTAGCAAAAGATCAAAAGCAGCCAAAAGACAGAGCTTCTTCTTCAGTTCACCACAGAAACACAAAGCGCACAAGAAACTTCCAAAGGCGCAAAACACATCAATTAACCCGGCATACAACCCCAATAGCAAAGTGTCGCGCTTCATTCCTTTGACGCCAATTTGGTATTGACAGGCGAGCGAGCTTAGTCAAACAAATATTAAATATCATTCCTTAAATACCTGGAAGACAGCACCCCGGAACACCGCCAAGACACCACAGAAACACCACCAAGGCATGAGCAAGACACCCAAAACATCACCGAACAACACTGTCAAGACACTAAGGACACACCACCAAAGGGCCACCAGGACACCAACGACCACCGAAACACATTTGAGAGACCACCAAGACACCAGCAGGACAGACACCGAAAAATTGTTGCCAACATACTTCGTCAGAATCATTTTTTTACCATCACCATCTTCTCGCATCACCATCATCACAACAACAACAACAACACAACAACATCATCGCAACATCATCCTCTTTTTCTTCATCATTACATCCTTTGTCATCAACCATCATCATCATCATCATCATCATCAGCAGCAGCAGCAACGTCATCATCATCATCATCATCACCAATAATACTAATCCTCCACATCCCCACTTTTCAATTTCCATACATTCCAACTCGTGTGCAGGTGCAGGTGGGCATGATCTTCTTTGACGCATCTACAAAATGTCATGGCTTTATTTACACAAGTGTAGATGACTGTATACTTATTGACGCTTTGGTGCAGGTACATAGATGCAGGTACATACGTAATTTAATTTCTTTAACGCAACTACCACATGAACATATGCTGGTGTATTGCGTCAAATACATTGGGGGCAGGCGGAGATAAACTTCCTAAAACAAGACCTGAGACTTGATATACTAAAGTGGCAGATATGAAGATGCAGGTGGAGGTCAACTTCTTACTGTGAAGACACCTACAGGTTCAAATGTTTTTCGAAATTTTCTCTTAGGGCGGCAGGGCGGCGTGGATTGATGTCCACGAAACGCAACCCCCTCGCACGAAATGTCGATCGCCAAAACTTGAAATGAAATTGCAACGTGGGCTTGCGATGGGCCAACCCTTTTGCACGAAATGCGCCTCGATCGCCAAAAGCTGCGGTGAAATTGCGGTTTTATGTTTGCTTGCTCATCTCTTGCAGCGCGAAATGCGTGCCCGCCGCCGGAATTCATAAATGAATTTGCCTGTGTAACAACATCCGTATACCAGTAGTACCGCACAAGGCGGTGGCGGAAGTTTCAGACTAGGAAACCTATAGGAGAGGTTGGTTGTTGTGAATCAGGGATGGCAGAGCGAATCCACTGATGGACGGAAAAGGTGGTTGGAATTGTGTTTTTGGGAGTTGTTGCAATGGTTGCAGTGGTCACCTGGTCGGTCACCTCACCCACAACTGCTGGATGTAGTGTGGTGTAGGGCAGCTGTAGTTGTAGTTGTAGTGTCGTGGAGTTGTAGTTCTGGTGCAGTGCAATTAGTGTAGCGCAGTTGCAATTGCATTTGTGGTGGTGTAATGAATGCAGTGTAATGTACCGTAGGGTAGTGTAGTGTAGTCAAGTGTAATGTAGTGTAAGGTAGCTTAGTCGTAGCTGTAGCTGTAGTTGTAGTTAGTGTAGTGTGGTGTGGTGTACTGTGGTGTAAAGTAATTAGTGTAGTGTAGTGCAATGTACTTAGTGTAGTGTAATGTAATGTAGCTGTTATGTATTGTAGATTTAGTCTTAGTTGTAGTTTCCGTTGCAGTTGTAAGTGTAGTGGAGTGGAGTGGAGTGTAGTGTAATTGAGTGTAGTGGAGTGTAGTGGGGTGTAGTGGAGTGTAGTCTAGTGTAATGTAATTAGTGTGGTGTAGTGAGGTGTAGTTGTAGTTGTAGTTGCAGTTGTAGTGGTAGCTGTAGTTGTAGTTGTACTTGTAGTTGAGTGGAGTGTAGTGTAGTGTAGTGTAGTGTAGTGCAGTGTAGTGGTGGTTGTAGTTGAAACTGCTACAAAAGCGTCACGTTTTGCTCACTTTTGGCAAGGTGCAGAATCCGTTGCGCCTGCCACGCAAAGCAGCATCCGAACGTCCAAAAGTGCTCCGAACCCGTCAGTTTTTTACACTTTTGACTTTGAAATGTGCTTCGCGCCACAGCGGCGTGCACTTTTTCAACATCTTAACTTCCAGTGGTCCGGACCTGGTGATTTTTATACATTTTGACTTCGACATGTGCTTTGCGCCACAACGGCGTGCAACTTTTCATCTCTCATCTGACCTCATGGCTCCGCACCCGCCGCTTTAGCGACCCTACTTGTCGACCCTCCGGAGCCACATACCATTGGAAAAACGCAGTGTTTCGCGACTTTGCTACCTTTTCGCGCACCTGCATCTTCTTTCCTCTGACTCTTTCTCTTCTCTGATCTTCTCTTTGCTTCTCTTTGCTTCTCTTTGCTTCTCTTTGCTTCTTCTCTTTGCTTCTTCTCTTCTTCTTCTCTTCGCTTCGCTTGGCTTCGCTTGGCTTCGCTTCGCTTCGCTTCTCTTCTCTTCTCTTCTCTTCGCTGACTCTTCCCACCTCTGCTTTTCCATCTGTCCATATTGTCCGAAGTTTGACTTCTAAACTTCCTTCGATAAAAGCTCCTCGTGTAAATTCATTCCTTTGCAAAAGCACCTCTGTTTGTAATGGTATCTGTGCGTAAAGCTGCTCAGCGTAAAACCATCTCTGTGTAAAATGTAAAATTGTGTATGTGTAAAAATGTTTCTGTATGTGAAGTCATCTCTGTGTGAAGCATCTCTGTGTAAAAGTATTTCTGTGTACCAGTAGTACCGCACAAGGCCGTGGCGGAAGTTTCAAAAATAGGAAACCTGTAGGAGAGGTTGGTTGTTGTGAATCACGGATGGCAGAGCGAAGCCACTGATGGACCGACAGGTGGTTGGAGTTGTCTTTTTGGAGTGGTTGCAGTGGTCACCTTAACGCAACTGCTGGATGTATATAGTGTGGCGTAGTGCATGCAGTTGCAGTTGTAGCTGTAATTGTAGTGTAGTGTCGTGGACCTATAGCTGTAATGTAGTGTAAGTAGTGTAGTTGTAGTTGTAGTGGTAGTTGTAGTTGTAGTTGTAGTGCAGCGCAGTGTAGCGCAGTGTAATTGGTGTAGTGTAGTGTAGTGTAAATAAAGTGTAGTGTAAAGTGTAGTGCACGGTGTAGTGTAAAGTGTAGTGTAGTGTAGTGTAGTGAAATGTAGTGTAGTGTAGTATAATGTAGTGGTAGTTGTAGTTGCAGCTGCAGTTGTAGTTGTAGTGTAATGCAATGTAATCAGTGTAGTGTAGTATTGTGTAAAGTAGTGCGGGTGTAGTTGTAGTTGTGTTTGTAGTTGTAGTGCGCTGCGGTGTAATTAGTGCAGTGTAGTCGTACTTCTAGTTGTAGTTGTGGTAGTAGTTGTTCCTGTAGTTGTTGTTGTAGTGTAGTGTAGTGTGGTGTAGTGTTGTGTAACTACTACCACTAGGCTTAAGTCGTATCAATCGACCTGAAGTCGTATCACACCTTCGTGCGCGCAGTGTTTCGTATAGATTTTGATAGTTCTTTATTTGATGGGTTATTGATTCGAACACTTTTTCATCGCTGTGCGCAATGTTTTGTTGACATGATTCTATTTGACCCTACTAGCCCTAGCGTTAAGTCGTATCAGCTCGTAGAAGTTGTATCGGGAGGCCGTGCGCCTGGAAAAAGTTCAAGTTTGGCATCACCACAACTTTTAGTAATTGGACGATTTCATTGTTTTGGGGCCGTGCGCCTAGAAAAAGTTCAATTTTTGTATTGCGTTGATTTATAAAACTTATATTATATTTCATTATTCTTTCATCGGGGCAAACGCTGGTTGCTGCTTTCTGCTTGCTTTCTGCTTGCTTTCTGCTTGCTTGCTGCTTGCTTGCTGCTCCTTGCTGCTGCCTCCTGCTGCTGCTGCTGCTGTTGCTGCTGCTGTTGCTGCTGCTGTTGCTGCTGCTGTTGCTGCTGCTGTTGCTGCTGCTGTTGCTGCTGCTGTTGCTGCTGCTGTTGCTGCTGCTGTTGCTGCTGCCTCCTGCTGCTGTTGCTGCTGCCTCCTGCCGCTGCTGCGGCTGCGGCTTCCTTCTGCTGCTGCTGCTGCCTCCTCTTCTTCCTGCTGCTGCTGCTTCCTCCTGCTGCTGCTGCCGCTGGTGCAAACATTTTGCCGAAAAAGAAAATTACAGTCTCGGTCGCCTTGTTTGGCGCTGGCGGGAGATACGGGCGGGGGACGCCAGCAGAGAGAGGGAATGTTTACAGAAGGCAGAACTTATGAAACATTCAAGCGGAAGCGGATGTTGACAGCGGTGTGCCACTGGGTTTTCAGATTTTAACGTTGTTGATATGATGATGTTGCCCATAGCTATTACATGGAAATCTATGTTTGTTAGGAAACAAAGTTAAAGATCTGGGAGGCCGTGTGCCATGGTGCTTCCTAAATATATCCTTTGAAAACATAGTTTTAACATATGTGAATACCTCAGTGCGCGCAATGTTTTCTTCATTTTTGGAGATATAACAACATTCCTTGAAAGCCGGTGTGCCATTGGGATTTTGATATTTTGATGTGACTTTTGCCTAGTTGATGTGACTTTCTTCCAACTCGCTGTTACATGGGGTTGATGTGACTTCTGCCCAACTGATGTGACTTAAACCCTTCGCTAGTAGATATAAGTAGTGTAGTGTACTGTAATTAGTGTAGCGTATATAATGTAGGGTAGTATATTTGTAGTTGTAGAAGTAGTGTAGTGTAGTGTTAGTTGTAGTTGTAATTGTCTATCTGTCTGTCTGTCTGTCTGTCTGTCTGTCTATCTATATATCTATCTACCTAATCTATCTACCTAATCTATCTACCTAATCTATCTACCTAATCTATCTACCTAATCTATCTACCTAATCTATCTACCTAATCTACCTACCTAATCTATCTACCTAATCTATCTATCTATCTATCTATCTCTCTCTCTCTCTCTGTCTGTCTGTCTGTCTGTCTGGCTGTCTATCTATCTTTCTATCTATCCATCTATCTATCTATCTAACTACCTATCTATCTATCCATCTATCTATCTATCTATCTAATAATCTAACTATCTAAAGATCTAACTATCTAACTATCTATCTCTCTCTCTCTCTGTCTGTCTGGCTGTCTGTCTATCTATCTGTCTATCTGCAAGCTTGAAAACGAAGCTATTCTGCGAGACTTCCTCAGTTTTTGAATTTGACAACATCAAAAATGCAGCAATCCTGCGAGGCTTTCTCAATTTTTGAACTTGACAACGTCGAAAACGAAGATTCTGCGAGACTTCCTCATTTTTTGAAGTTGACAACATCAAAAACGAAGCAATTCTGCGAGACTTCCTTGAAAAATGGAAAGTTGAGTGCAGAGCTAGTGGCCTCGTACCAATGCGTTTTGCGACTTTCCCACTCCACCTGTCTAAAGTACTGCGCCTGCCACGAAAAAGTGATGCCAGGTCATACGAAGTGCTGCACCTGTCACGCAAAATCATCTCAGCAAACCTGAAGATCTGATGCTCCAAAATGCAACCCCTCTCAGTAAATCAGCGCCCGGACCTCCAAACAGCTCTGATGAACATGTCTCTTGTACTGCGCCTGCCAAGGAAAATGCATCTTTGCAGATCCTCTTCAAATGTCCCACGCCTGCCATCATTTTTGGAAATGCGACAAAGCCCTCACGTTCTGCTCACTTTTGACAAGGTGCCCAATCCCTTGCGACTGCCACGCGAAACGACATCTGAACATCCAATAGTGCTCCGTACCCCTCAGTTTTTTTTGAACTGTTGATTTGGAAATGTGCTTCACGCCACAACGGCGTGCACTTTTTCGACATCTCAAATTCCAAAAGTGGTCCGAACCCCTGGTGTGGTTTGTACATTTTGACTTCGAAATGTGCCTCGCGCCACAACGGCCGGCACTTTTTAGACATCTCAATTTCCAAAATTTGTCCGAGAATGGTGTGTTTTGTACATTTCGACTTCGAAATGTGCTTCGCGCCACAACGGCGTGCACTTTTTCGACATCTCAACTTCCAAAAGCGGTCCGGAGCTGATGTGTTTTGTACATTTTGACTTGGAAAATCTTGGACATGTGCTTCGTGCCACAACGGCGTGCAATTTTTCATCTCTCATCTGGCCAGCTGGCTCCGCACCCGCCGCTTTAGCGAGCCTAGTTTTCGACCCTCCGGAGCCCCAAATCATTGGAAAAACACAGTGTTTCGTGACTTTCCTACCTTTTCGTGCACCTGGATCTTCTTTCTTCTGAGACTTTCTCTTCTTGAGCTTCTTTCTTCTTCTCTTCTCTTCTCTGACTCTTCCCATCTCTGCTTTTCATCTGTCCATATCGTCGGAAGTTTGACTTCTAAACTTCCTTCGACAACTATCTCTGCATACAAGCATGTGCGTTTAAAAGCATCCCTGTTAAAAGGCGCGCGCGCGTGTGTGTGTGTGTGCGTGAAGAAATGCCTGGGTAATTAAACATCATCGCTTGGTGCTAAAGTATCTCTGTGACATGTATTTGCGGGTAAAAGAATCTCTGCATCAAAGGACCAGCATGTAAAAGCACTGTATAAAAGTAGCGCGGTGTTAAAAAAGAACACCTGTGTGAGAAAGCATCTCTGCGTAAAGGACCTTTGTGTAATCTCCTGTTTGCAACATCATGTCTGTGAAAAAGTATTTATGTCTTAAAGCGCTTGTGTGTAAAACCATCTCTCTGCAAGCATTTTTGTGTGTAAGCGCAAAAGTGAGAATGGATGGAAACCTGGTTCCAGAATGGTTTGAACCCTCCCCAAAGCTGTGTTTCCAGCCTCGCCCATGTAAGAGTTTCCCTGCCTAAAAGTGTCCAAGTCTAAAAGCGCCCGTGTGTAAAAGCATCTTTCTGTAAAAAACTATGCCCAAAAAAAAACTTGTAAAAGTATCTGTGTGCAAAAAATGCCTCTATATAAATGTGCTCCTGTGTAGGAACCATCTCTGTGTGAGAGTATTTGTGTAAAAGCTTCTGTGTGTAAAGGCTGCGTATGTTGTGCCAAAAGAATCCCCATGTAAAAGCATATGCACTAGCGGGTATAAGCAGTCCGGTGTAAAACCATCGCTGTGTAAAGGCATCTGTGTGTAGAAATACCCGCGCGTCTGTGTGTAAAAGCTCCTGCGCGTAAAAGCATCACTGTGTAAAACCAACAAGTTTGTGTGTAAAACTATGCCTTTGCAAAAAGCATCCCTTTGCCCTGTGTAGAAGCATTCATGTGTGTGGTGGCATCCCTGTGTGTAAGCATCCCTCTGTGCAAAGCCATAAATGTAAAGGCTGAAAATGGTTCCTTCTCGTGAATGGAAGGGCCAAAACCAAAAGGCTAAACAAATCAGTGTGCAATATTTTGGTCGCTTGGTGTTAGAATCTCTTGGCTGCATAGTATTTACGCAAAATCGCTCGGTATCTGCAGCATTTTGATGCACTTTGCAGCGAGCACCTGTGCACCTCCTGGTTTTGTGCAACATCAGTTCATTGCTTGGAACTTTACCATCGCACAATATTTGCATTAGCACGAAGCGAACATCTGAAAATTGCAAGGTGCTTGCAAGATTTGTAATGATATCTGAAAAGCGCGTTATGATGCTTCAACAGCGCTCTGAAGCAAAAATATGTAGACTGTAAAATGCTTGCAGCATGTCGAAACCAAAAAATAGCACGTGCACAGCAGCATACCCGGGCAAAATTTAGCAAATCACATGGTTCTTGCTGTATTTTGTAACTATCACTTGTAAACCGCATGGCACTTGCAGCATGTGAAATGGCATCTGTAAATTGGATGCTATTTTGTGGCTTTCTGAAGATGAAAGCTGCAAATGGAATGGTATTTGCAACAGGTTGAATTTTTATATCACCTGCACAGCGCACATATATTGCACATAGCTGCACGGTGTTTGCAGCGTGTTGCAGCTAACATATGTGCAGTAAACTGCACGGTGTCCGCCACATTTTGAAACCAGCATTTGTAAACTGTGTGGGACTTGCTGCTCTTTGAAAGTAACATGTGTAAATTGGAAGGTGCACGCAGCATTTTGTAGCTAGGCCTTGTTTCTTTCTTCCTGCCGTCCTTCCCTCCCTCCCTCCCTCCTTCTTTCCCTTCCTGCTGTCGAAATTATGTTCTTCGTTCCTGTTTGTTTTTAATGCTAGCATTTTTTGTTTTGATATATGTGCGCGAGAGTCTCGGTGCCAGCGTAGCATGCAGTAAGTACATCAACTCCTCTAGTGAGGTGAGCAGCCCACGGCCGTGATTGCTGCATGGCATCAAGGAACTTTCGCAATTTAGTTGTTTTCGTAGAAACATCATAGTAAGTACGTTGTTCCTAACATGCGTTCACATCCGTGCCACCGCCCCAACCCAAACCTGCAAACGCAATGCCGTGGTCATAGTCATCGTCACCGTTACCATCACCGTCACCATAATAATCATCATCATCATCATCGCCGTCATCATCAGCAATCGAGACACCACCAAGACACCGCCGAGACATTATCGCGACACCACTAAGACACCACCGAGACACCACTGAGACATTATCGAGACAGCAGCGGAGCACCACCGAGACACCACCAAGACGTTATCGAGACAGCACCAAAACACCACAGAGACACCACCAAGGCGCTACGAAGGGACACCACCGAGATGCCACCGAGACACCACCGAGATGCCACCGACACACCACCGAGACACCACCAAGGGACAATCGAGACACCACCGAGACACCACCGCCGTGAACTCCACGGCGCCCATCCGCCTTTAGTGTTAACAACCCCAAGCTATCGCTATTGGGGAAAAAAACAATTGTGCAAAAACTGAGAGCCGGCAAAAAGTTAATTAAGCTGCGAGTCTGCATAGGCTCCTGGTGCAAACCAAAAGCCATCCCCTTCAGCTACAGCTAGACGATGCTAGAGGTATGCCTTTGGATTCCTTTTAGCAAGTTTGACTTAAAGAGATCGCTGACATCACCACGCTTTCACCCTTGTTGAGGCATGGGGGGTTAAGTCTATTGAGATATATTAAGTGCTTCAAGCACGATCAAACCTCGTATACCTGGTCAGATACGAAGACACGTTTGTGGTCCTCGATAGGACGCGTTCAAAATTTATGGGACTCGAGACGCTTGGACCCAGGACCATGAGCACAGCATCAAGCACAACTACGAGGACGACATCAAGCGCAAGGACGAGCACAACAACGAGCAGGACTTCTGACACTTGTGGTCTTCACAACCCAAACCACCAGAATCCCATAGGCAGTGGCTGGCTGATGCTGATTTTGGTGTGTGTGTGTGTGAACGATCTCAATAATAGATGTAAAACCTGTAATTGCACGAATTTCAAATTGCAGGGGGGGCAATCTCATGTTTGCAGCTGATTGCCCAACGAAGAGGGCTGCATTCATGACCAAGATGACTCTGGGACGCTGGAGTTATGTACCTGCTATTTCAACGGCAATTTGCCGAAGTTTTTTCACTTGCTGGAAATGGCGACCGGCTAAGCCAAGAACCGGCATGACGATGTTGTTTTGTGTTTTGCACGTTTGCCGCAATCTGGTGAGGCAACTCAAGAGTGTGGTGAAATTTTCCTGGCTATGGCGATGGTTATTTCAACTATGTATTCGGCATCTATTTGAAACTTGAAGGGGAAGGGTCAGCTCCCAATCTCCATTGTTCTTCCACTTTGATCAGGAATTAATGGAGTGTTTTTGCACGACCGATGCATTCCATAGCACAATTCGATAAGACAATTCTGAGCACGTGTGTGGCTCATGTCGGATTCGACGGGATGACATGAGCCCTTTGGGGAATACCTTTCTAGGTAGGAAATGGGAACCGTCGAACTGACTCTGAATTTACAATTTTCAACCTGGTAATTTGTCTAAGTAAAGTGCTTCAGATGGCCTTTTTTCACTTCACCACGTCGATTGTGGATGTGTTGAAAAGCTGGCCGCTGATTGCGCAATCAATTTTTCTGTCGCGCTGAAGCTGTGACGATTGCTCAAAGCCGTGGAAGCCTCCTTTTTCCATGATGCTCGAGATACTGCTCAGCATATACCGCCATATGCAACATGAAGGAACTTCCAGGCAGGTACATGCTTTTAGGTGTGGTGGTTCTTTCTTTTGATGGCCGTTGGTGAGGTTCAACTGTGCACTTAATTCAGCTGGGGGCTACTGACAGCCGTCTAAAGGGTTCAACTAATTATTGCCGAGGGCCTTGAGCCTCATCACGATTCTTGCAAGAAATTGTGGATGCATCCAATTTGTTGAAACTGTTGAAATTTTCCTGACCTAGCTCTCTGTCCAATTGCCATGTTTCCCTTTTCCTGGGATCAACACCCATGGGCGATTCCCACGGCACCCAAAATGCATCCTGGCGCTACATCAATCATGAGCCCAATGGCAAGCATGGGGCCTCCTCTTCCAGGCATTGGAGGTTTTATCAGTGGCTGTGATCCCAGCACAGGGGACTCTTTCCATGTGATGAAGGGCGCGGTTGCCAGGATCCAGGTATGAGAAAAGGCATCCCACAATGATAGCGTAAGATTGTTAGTCATCGTGTGTTGGCAACATGTGGCTTTTTGAACCATTATTGCATCACGGTGAGCATGGACCTCATCCTTGTCGAGACTTGAACTCAAGACGTGCTAGTCAGATTGCTTGATGTTTTTTCGGCCATGCCCGTTTGGGCAATTTTTTCTGGAACCAATAGCGTGCAGTGAGTTGTTGTCATTTTTGCACAAACCCTGGTGAGGCTGCTAGACGAGCTCGAATATCATGAACGTGAAGTGAAGCGCTTCAAGAGTGCTGCGCAGGGTTTGGGTGAAGGACTTGGACCAGCCAGGCAGGCCACAAGGGAGTCCAGCTCTGAAAGAGAGAGCGCTGCGTGAGCCGATCTTGACAGCAGAGTCAAAATTTGTTGGGCCCAATTGAATTTTGAATTTGAATGATCATGTGCGAAGTGCATCAGAGTGTCAGAGGGGTATTGCGGCTGCCATTTCTGGCAAAACCATTCCCTACTATTTGCCATATCAGACGGTGACTGAGGTCACTGCGCTTGAGCGGCGGCAGATTCAATGTGCTGCTGGGCAAAAATGGCGCTTCTCACACATTCCAACAGGGAAAGCTAAACTTTTTTTTAATGGGTAGTTCGCAGAAGTCAGCCTCTCTTCATGCCATGGATCGCTCTAGATCTCGAGATCTTGTTTTGAGGGGTTCACGTGACCTATATTATGGCTCTCCTGCAACTGGTCGCTCTACTCCAGTCATCAACCGTCGACGACCTGTACTACTGATGATCACCTATCATGATCTTCCTTCATGGCTCAGGAACATACTGCTTCCACCACCATGGCTGCAACTCGCTCCGAACTACTTCCTTGGCTCTCTGCCGGTGATCAGGAATGCATCTTTACTTACTCGAAGATGGTTGTATTTTCCAACTTACTTCACGATCTTTCTGACCATATCTCGGTTACCTGGAACGTTCAACTTGATCCTGATGATCTTAGCCTTCGTTATTCAGACCTCACGGGTGATGTTGTCGACTTGGATTCTCTGTATTCGGTGCTTGGGACATTGCAACCTTTTTGCCCTGAATGGTGTCGTCGACAAGATGACGTTTTCAACTCCTGCCTCTTCACGGACCTTACCCAGCCCTACATTATGCGTCTCACATCATGTCATCAGAATGATCCTTCGGTTATCCTTCCGTAACTCAGGCTTTGCCCCTCGGAAAATTGGCTGCCTAGTGAATTTGCATATTCCCATTTCCATTTCCTCCCTCACACGTTCATGTGTTTCCATGGCCTCGGCCTCCTTTATACTTTCTGTTGTAATTTTTGGCCTAGCGGTTTAGCTCCTTCATCATGACCAAACGTGACTCGCTCACCGCCAATCTCCCATCGTCCGAATGGCTTCGGAACAAGATGTGGATGCTACCATGGAACCTGTGTCCAGCTACACTGCTGTGATCCCTGCTGCCCCTATGCCACCTTCCGACCCTTCATCTACTTTGGATATACTCCCCACTTTTCCACTCGATCTACACTTCGACCTGATGAATATCGCCAACACGCAGTTCACACAGTTACCTTCAAGATCTATGAGTACGGCAACAGAAATCCGAATTTGGTGGTGGAAGAAGCCGACGGCACTGGCTACCTGAGGATCAAAATTCTTGAGCTGAGACCCTCTTCCATGGTAATAGTTGTTCATGTTCGGAACCGACAAGGTCAACGTATTGACGGATGGGCACAAGCATCTGCTCTGGCCAACTTTTGGCGCATGTGTTTCAACATCTCGGAGAACACTTGGCCTCATCATGACTATGATGATTCTCGCGAAGATGGACCGCAGGCTACAGATCCTGTGACTCCTGGCCCCAATCAGCCGCAGATACCCACTCCGCTGATCCAACTGCCCCACCTGCTCTACAGTGTCCTTGAACAGGACCCGGACGGCAACGATTCTATCTTGGCTGTGCTGAATGCTGCCTCGTCCTCTACGTCTTCGGCAACCCTGAATCTTGATGGTTTGGCCCATCTTGCTGGTCACCTTGCTTTTTTTGTCCAACATCTTCGCTCGACAAAGCACCGTGCACTCCGAAATCACTGAGTCTTCGGGCCTCTAGCTGGAGATTGCACCAGTCATGTTTCATCGGTTCTACATCTCGTTTTGCAATTGCCTGGCTTTTTGATCTATGCTAAGATTCGCCTGCCTGTCTTGTATCTTCCGAAAAAGTTCCACTGCTGAGGGGCGTGTGAGTGGACCATCTCAATAGATGTAAAACCCGTACTTGTTTTTTCGAATCTTTTCTCGATTGTTGACACAAAATTCAAATTGCAGGGGGGCAATCTCATGTTTGCAGCTGATTGCCCAACAAAGAGGGCTGCATTCATGACTGATATGACTCTGGGATGCTGGAGTCATGTACCTGCTATTTCAACGGCAATTTGCCGAAGTTTTTTCACTTGCTGGAAATGGCGACCGGCTAAGCCAAGAACCGGCATGACGATGTTGTTTTGTGTTTTGCACGTTTGCCGCAATCTGGTGAGGCAACTCAAGAGTGTGGTGAAATTTTCCTGGCTATGGCGATGGTTATTTCAACTATGTATTCGGCACCTATTTGAAACTTGAAGGGGAAGGGTCAGCTCAGTCAGCTCCCAATCTCCATTGTTCTTCCACTCTGATCAGGAATTAACGGAGTATTTTTGCACGACCGGCTCATTCCACATCAGAATTCGATAAGACAATTTTGATCAAGTGTGCTGAAAATATCGGATGAGAGGAGAGCGGGTGCGTGGATCCCACACATGTGTCGCATAGTGCGCTACATGCAACATCATGCAACCACAGGTTCCTCAAGCCAGAAATGTAGTGAGAATTGTTGGGATGCCAATCCAATGTGTTCTCTGAATGAAGCGGTCCTCATAAGACTTTCCGATATTGCTGAAAGCAGCCTACCTTAGTGCAGTGTGTATGTGTGTGCGTGGGGTGTGGAGGGAAGAATTTGGTGGTTTCAGCTCTGATATGATCAATAGAGGTTTGAGTCCGGCCAGCGATTTCCATTTGGTTAGGTCCACTATGGTTCATTTTTTGCTGGTGAGGTATTGAAAGCATTGGGCGAATGGAGAAATCTATGAAATTGTCATAAGGACGTTTACGACACCGGGATTGTGCAGACGCTGGGACCCAGGACCATGAGCACAGCATCAAGCACAACCACGAGGACCACATCAAGCGCAACGACGAGCACAACAACAAGCAGGACTTCTGACACTTGTGGCTTTCACAACCCAAACCACCGGAATCCCAAAAGCAGTGGTTGGCTGGTTTTGGGTTATGCACTAGGTGTGTTGCAGAGGCAAGTTTCAGTTTACCAGAACGGGAAAAGAAAACAACAGTAAAGAACCACGGCATCCTTCGTCTCACTTGAGATCTTGAAGTTTGCAAGGTGACAATTGCCAGAATGGTGATGGGTAAAAAAAATATGAAAAACAGACCTGCGCGGATTGTTTTACTTAGTTTTTAACGTTCTTTAAATCTGCAGGCACGAGTGATAAATCAAGATCCTGGAGTTCGGTTTGAGTTTTGAAGAGAGTTTCCTAGAATCAGCTGATCGTTTCCATTAGGGTCCAGCCCAAAGTGTCCACCATATCAGCTTAAGCAATGTTTCTTGCTCATTAGGTGTCCCAATCATGGGCAAACGAGATTTGCGGAAAAAACTGGAATTTTGCAGACGCTTAGTCCCAGGACCACGAGCACGATGTCAAGCCTGACTACGAGCAGGATTTCCAAAACTCTGCTTAGTTTTGAATTGCGCGTTCCAGAGACAGAAGCGTAAACCCACCAAAGGGGTAACAATACGAGAAGAGTGTGAGAGCCGAGAGCCCTCCGAAAAATTGAAAAGTGAACAGGAGTGAGAATTGCCCGGATGGGAGACAGATGTTTTTCTCTGAATGAAGTGTGCCCACTGAAATCTTCAGCTGACTTCCATCATCAGGCATCAGTGATACATCAAGATTTCTGTAGGCGCAGGCCTTTGATTCCTGAGATTGGTTTGAGCTTCAAAGGGTTCTTTTTCTGTTTCTAAATGCCACTGTGGCCACACGTACTTCAAGGACCTTGGAAGCTCAACCAAGATGCTGGTACAAATCACAAGTTCATACAAGTTCACCAGTTCACTTATGTGTTGCGCCAAAAGCCTTTAAATCCTCAACAGATTTGTGCTGGGGCAGGGCCTGCAAAACACAGAACATGATTGGAAGCACTGCGCGCGCAATGCTGTGAGCTTTCTTTGGGAAACCGGTGGGCACCTAGCATGTTTTTGTTGAAATTGGCAAGTGCTACCAGCAACCTAGAAACTTTTCACGCCGATAAACTAGATCCAGCGAGTTAAAACTGTGCACAGTTCTGCTTTAGTTACCGTGACAACACCGTGGCGCTACATTTTTGGCACCACCGGAATCAGAATTTTAAGCCCCAGCAGAAATGATTTGTTCCAGGACTTTGACAGCAACATCGAGCACACTGACTTCAACGTCCTCTGTGGGAATTACGGAGGCTGGTTTTCTTGGGCACAGGGATTAGCTTCAGCACAGCCAAACAATGATAATTACAATGGGTAGATGGCCGTGTGGCAGCAGTTGACGGGTGGCTGGTTTGCACACTCCCCTGTACGCAGACTGCCACAAGCGCGACTGCGACTCTGACAGAGTCGCTGACCACTACTGTGACCACACGTACTTCAAGGACCTTGGAAGCTCAACCAAGATGCTGGTACAAGTCACAAGTTCATACAAGTTCACCAGTTCACCTATGTGTTGCGCCAAAAGCCTTTAAATCCTCAACAGATTTGTGCTGGGGCAGGGCCTGCAAAACACAGAACATGATTGGAAGCACTGCGCGCGCAATGCTGTGAGCTTTCTTTGGGAAACCGGTGGGCACCTAGCATGTTTTTGTTGAAATTGGCAAGTGCTACCAGCAACCTAGAAACTTTTCACGCCGATAAACTAGATCCAGCGAGTTAAAACTGTGCACAGTTCTGCTTTAGTTACCGTGACAACACCGTGGCTCTACACTTTTGGCGCCACCGGAATCAGAATTTTAAGCCCCAGCAGAAATGATTTGTTCCAGGACTTTGACAGCAACATCGAGCACACTGACTTCAACGTCCTCTGTGGGAATTACGGAGGCTGGTTTTCTTGGGCACAGGGATTAGCTTCAGCACAGCCAAACAATGATAATTACAATGGGTAGATGGCCGTGTGGCAGCAGTTGACGGGTGGCTGGTTTGCACACTCCCCTGTACGCAGACTGCCACAAGCGCGACTGCGACTCTGACAGAGTCGCTGACCACTACTGTGACCACACGTACTTCAAGGACCTTGGAAGCTCAACCAAGATGCTGGTACAAGTCACAAGTTCATACAAGTTCACCAGTTCACCTATGTGTTGCGCCAAAAGCCTTTAAATCCTCAACAGATTTGTGCTGGGGCAGGGCCTGCAAAACACAGAACATGATTGGAAGCACTGCACGCGCAATGCTGTGAGCTTTCTTTGGGAGACCGGTGGACACCTAGCATGTTTTTGTTGAAATTGGCAAATGCTATCAGCAACCTAGAAACTTTTCACGCAGATAAACCAGACCAGACCCAGTGAAGCTGTGGATCATGTGGCCAAGCGGCACCAAGATAAGTTCGAGACCGTTGTATTTCATCCAAAGTATGTCTTTTTGATTTTTTTGGTGTATTACCTTTTGTTTGCGATCGCTGAACCACGCCCCCATGTTACACAGCTTGCGCCGTCCAAGTCCCTGCACGTCTGCCTGCGCTAGGACAGTGACGGCAACTTCAAGCACGATGACGCTGACGTCCATCACGTCTACTACAGAAACATGGCTAGCACATGTATTGTTGGCTGCGTCATCTCTTGCCACAATGTGAGGGAGCAATGGTTTCAATGGTTTCCCCAAGGAGCGCTTGTAGCCTTGTAGAATGAAAACGGTTCCGCAGTTTGTATAAACTGGGAGCCCGACTGGCTTGGTGGCCAAATATTGACAATTCTGAGGGCACCAGCACTTCAATGACTTACAGCAGTGGCTTGGCTTTACTGTCGCCATGAAATTTTGTGTTCACAATAGGGCGCGCGTGAAAAAACCGTTGGTTCGGGACTGGTGGACGGGCAAGTGCTATGGCGTGTTTTTCTATTATTTTCTCCATGCCTCACAGCCACGCATTGCCTCTTGAGAACCGAGAGGCAGCACAGCAACGGCCAGCACTTCCACTACTGCAACCACCAGCAGCAGCACGACCAGCACCACTTTGCCACAGGGCCCAGTCCGCGAGTTGGATTCACAACCATCCTGCCCTCATTCAGATGTTGTCAGTTCAGATTGCTAGCCGAGATGGTCAGGCTTCTTTGCATCAAAGTCAAGAAAGATGGATTTTGCAAGTGTAACATGGCTTCAGAAACTCCTGCCGGCAGCAGTCTCCCATTCTGAGCGCAGCCCCGGCTCTTGTCGCTGTTGCGATCTTCAAACTTGCAACTGCTGTCCCAGCCCAGCTGGTGATCTCTCAGGTTACCAAGCCTTGTGCTGCCAAGCAACATGGATAGAGACAACCCACACACTTCTGTGGTAGCCGTTGCTTGGCTGCAAGCAGAGTGACAGGCCATGGCGCAAGTCCAACATGCCAGCACTCATGGTCCATCCCATCCCAGGCCTCGCTTCAAGCGGCGTTGGCGGCCGTGAGTTCTGACGAGGAGCACCGAAGCTGGAAGATGCCAGGGTTTTGCAAGGTGCAACCGCTGTAAGGAACTCAATTAGATGCAGCTTTGGTGCCTCTCACACATCATGGCTCCCAAAGACCGCGGATTACCCATACAAGTCGGTCTTGGGTTTACGACTCTTATTTTACTTTCATTTGTTCAGTAACTAACGTTGGCTTGCTCGACAAGTATAGAAGGGCGTCTTTGGCGGTCAATGCATTCATACTTTCACTTTTATAAGACAACTTTCCTGGCGACCACGCGGGGTTGTGTGGACCTGAATGTGCACTGTGCAAAAGGTGCGAATGGATCTTTCTTTTGAAAACCAAATGCAAATGCAACCCCCTCCCCCTTTGGTATTCAAACCTGCGTCAACGTAAGCTGTGTATCGGACAGCGCCCAATTCGGCGCAAAAAGGGTCACCCCATGTCACCCCAGAAGGGGCAAAAGCGGGTGAGATATGCGAAATAGACAAGCCAAAGCGCATCGCCAAAGATGTTTCGGACAGCCTGATTGAATGTGGTATCTCCTGCATTCAGAGATTCACAAAAAGTTCAGAAAAGGCCTAGGTGATGTTGTTGATGCTGTTTTCACATCCTACTTGTACATGTTCAATCAGCATCAAAGCTACGCAAAAGTTCGAGACATGCTGCAATCTCTCCAAACCTCCGGCAGTTGGTGCTGGAAACGTTCCGAAAATATAAAGAGAATTAAGCATAAATATACGTATAAAAATGCGTATATATATATATACATATATTTATTCTATTATGTAATATTATGTATAATTATGTGTATATTATATATATAATAATATAAGTGTATGTATATATGATTATATATTAAAAACATATATGAGGAACCTTAGTGTTCAGAACCAAGGCAAAACAGGATTTGGGCCCATGTATGAATTTATTTGGGCTTTGGGGTGCCCACAACTGCCCCCACCGTCCAAAAAGTGAGGATATTTTCAGCCTAGAGACAGAGGCTGGGAACGTTTTGCCCTCGGTCTGAAGACATTGAGTGGCTGAGGGGTAGGTCACAGAGCAACTCGGAGTCACGCTAGTTCATCAGTTGTCAAGCTGTCCAGCTTGCTGCGGCTCATTGGACCCTTCGGATTTTCCCCTGGTAGCTTGGATTTCACGTGAGGGCACCGAATTTGCTGTTCTTTCCGAAACCATGGAAGCGCATGGAAGCGCTTGAAGGCATGCCCCACATGCTCTGTGTACTGGGTTTCACCGTGCAACTGTGCTTGCAAACATTGTGGTTCGAACCTCCGTTGGTTTCATTTCATTTCATACAAGCAAATGGTCTTGAGTCTTGACATCATTTTTTTCCCCACATCACTGTGTGGGGTTCTTGTTTTTCGCTTGCATCCCGCCGGGGCTCCGCTCCTTCGCCTCCGCCCCCTCCTCCTCCGCCGCCTCCTCCTCATGACTCACATTCATCACTCATCACTCATTCCCTATCTCCCTCATTCACTCACTCACTCACTCACTCCCTGACTCACTCACACTCACTCACACTCACTCACACCCCCCCCCCCCCCCCCCCCCCACCCACCCACTCACTCACTCACTCACTCACTGTCTGTACAGATAGCTTCCTGGCTGCCTTTGGCGTGGCAGGCGCAGTACACGGAGCTTCCGCAGTACACAGAGCCTCCGCACCCCCCTTTTGCGTGGCAGGCGCAGTACATAGAGCTTTCTGGACAAGCTGCGGCGCGGTGGCCGCCGCTGGCCCGCAGCTGCCTTTTGCCTGGCAGGCGCAGTACACAGAGCCTCCGCACTTCCCTTGTGCGTGGCAGGCGCAGTACATAGAGCTTTCTAAAAAAACTGCGGCACGGTGGCCGCCGCTGGCCCGCCGCTGCCTTTTGCCTGGCAGGCGCAGTACACAGAGCCTCCGCACTTCCCTTGTGCGTGGCAGGCGCAGTGCACAGAGCTTTCTGGCGGAGCCGCGGCGCGGTGGCCGCCGCTGGCCCGCGGCTGCCTTTTGCCTGGCAGGCGCAGTATACAGAGCGTCCGCGCTTCAGCCTCTGCACTTCCCCTTTGCTTGGCAGGCGCAGTACACAGAGCTTCCTGGCGGAGCTGCGGCGCGGTGGCCGCCGCTGGCCCGCGGCTGCCTTTTGCCTGGCAGGCGCAGTACATAGAGCCTCCGCACTTCCCTTTTGCGTGGCAGGCGCAGTACACAGAGCTTTCTGGAGGAGCTGCGGCGCGGTGGCCGCCGCTGGCCCGCGGCTGCCTTTTGCTTGGCAGGCGCAGTACACAGAGCTTCCGCACTTCCCTTTTGCGTGGCAGGCGCAGTACACAGAGCTTTCTGGAGGAGCTGCGGCGCGGTGGCCGCCGCTGGCCCGCGGCTGCCTTTTGCCTGGCAGCCAGCCGTACACAGACACAGAGCCTTGCGTGGCAGGCGCAATACACAGCTCCACAGCTCCACTTCTGACAGGTCCACTTCTCATCACAACTCACCACAACTTATCACATCCCAACTCATCACAGCTCCACTTCTGACAAGTCCACTTCTCATCACAACTCATCACAACTTATCACAACTTATCACAGCTTATCCCATCACAGCTCCACTTCTCACACCCCTTCTCACACCTCACTTATCACATCAGAACTCATCACAGCTTCACTTCTCACACCTGACATCACAAGTCCACTTCTCACACCTCACTTCTCACACCTCCCCGAAGTTCACATTAAAATCTTACATACATAAAGGCTTGACATGTGAGGTTATCTGGTCCTTTTATTGCTTTCCTCGCATGTTGCTGTGTAATTAAATTCTTTGACCGGCTTGGATGTTTGCACTCCCAGAATTGTTGTCTACATGGCGGCATTGTGCATTTTACTCATGTCAATCATCCTCATGGGTGCGTCGACGCCGCTTCCAGTACTCCAGCAGGTGTGCGCGTGCACGTGCGCATGCGGGTGCGGGTGTGGGGGGGTAGGGGGGTGGGGGGGTTGGGGTGTGCGTGTGTGCGGCGTGTCGTTTGTGCGCGTGCGCGTGCGGGGGGGTGCGCGTGCGCGGGTGCGTGTGCATGTGCGGGTGTGGGTTGAGCGTGGGGGTGGGGTGGGGGTGGGTGGGGGTGTGGGGTGGGGTGAGGGGTGGGGGTGGGGTTGGTGGGTGGGTGGGTGGGTGTGTGTGTGTGTGTGGGAAACCCTGAATCAAAGGGTATAAGCAGGGAGCCCGTGGACGCATAGATGGCACGTGCCAACAAAGACCCATCTATGTCGTCGTGAAAACGTACCTGCAAACTCCCATTGTCAGACATGGCAAGGTAGCCAAGTCCACCCATGCCGACATGACATGACATGACATGCTAACGTAATAACATGACATGACATGTCTCATTTCATCTCATTTCACCCTCTCCCTTCGGGGTGTATCCAAGTGTGTCTTTTCATGTACCCGGATATCTGATAAAGTGCCGGGGAAGCTTGGTGGTGCGTCCACCGGGGATACCAGATTACTTCAGAATAAATCCAGACATGATGTTGCCAGAAGCAAAATCCGCACAAGCATCCAGATTTCGCACAAGCATCCAGAATTCTCCATCAGAAGCAGAATTTTTCAGAATTCGCCAGATCCACGTTCAAAATTCGCCAGAATTACAGAATTTTCATCCCTCATAATTCACCGTGTCATCCCATGATTCTTAACTTACATGTTTTTACTAGCATGACCTGTAGGTATGATTCTTACCGCATGACCTGTAGGTATGACCTAATTTTTTAGGGTTCTAACATGAACACCATGTGTGATTGAACGCCGCTTTTCAGATGTGACCCGGTAGCCTCGATGATACTAGCTCATTTGCATTTTTAACCAACATGTTGTAACATGGTAGCCATGAACATTGATCATCATGCCATGTAGATTAATCTCATGAGTTAGATGGTTTCAATTTGGAGCAACGACCACATTGATGTGTGACATGTTGTTGCTTGTACGTCCTTGGCTACAACCATGCAGCCCGCGATGCCAGCAGCTGATTTGCTTGTCCAGTTGATGAGTCCGCCACCACATAGCACACAGCAGCAGTACCTTTTGTACCAGCATTCTCTCAAACAGCCGGACACACTCTACCACAACCAATGCAACCACCGTGTGCCACCGCCGCTTTTGCACAACCTTTCTCTCCAACTCAACAACAACACCAGCTTATGGGACACACCGTCCCACAACCAATGCAAGCACCATTTGCCACCTCTGCGTTTACACAACCACCATCCTTTCACACTTTCAACACACCACATTACAACACAGCCGCCAGGTTTTCAGGCACCTCATCATGTCCTGCTCCTGAAACTACAAGAGACTACAGTAGCTGTCTTTTTGCTTTTGCCTCAGCTTTCTCCGGCCTTCTTGCTCTTGCTCCTGGCCCTTCGCGCCCTACGGTGCCTAACGTCCGCTTTCTTTCGTTCCTTTTTCCTATCGCTGCCACCTTCGTCGCGTGCTCTTGCTCCTTGCTGTCTTCGTTTCTCTGCTTCTGTCTCTCTCTGGCTCTTGCTGGTTGCTCTCATCATGTCTTGCCCCTGGCTGATTGTAATGACGTCGCTCTCTGGAGCTACAAGAAACTGGCATCTTTTTGCTTTTGCCGCTGCTTTCTCCTGCCTTCTTGCTCTTGCTCCTGGCCCTTCGCGCCCTCCCAGTCTACGGTGCCTAGCGTTAGATCCGAGCATGATCCGAGCATGGCGCGAGACCGTCCCGCACCCGTCGCTCCGCAGAGCTTGATCGTCGAGGTTTGATGACGCATTTTGTATGTGCATGACTCTCCTCTACATGACTCTCCTCTACACAACTCCTCTACATGACTCCTCTACACGACTATCCTCTACACGACTCTCCTCTACACGACTCTCCTCTACATGACTCTCCTCCACCTGACTCTCCTGTACGTGGCTCTCTCCTCGACTCCTCTGCATGACTCTCCTCGGCAGCATTCAGCCGCATTTGCTTGGCAGCACGACACAGCTACCCACGGAAACAAGCAAAAGATGATGTTGAGTCCTTAATTCAGAAGTACGTCTGGCTCGGATATCCCGAGCAACCACTACGAGCTAAGGCGTCTCAGATGCTTCGGCGCACTTGCTGATTAGTACTTCGGTCAATCATGATACTTGATACTGATACCTCGAATTTCTAGCATTTGATCCTTTAAGCTCTTTGAACTCTGACCGGTACTTTCTTGTTTGGATTCCTTTCGGTTGTTTCGAAATTTCTGACACGCGACCAACAGCACGGAGGGGTGGTTTTCAATCACACTAGTTTAGTTAGAAACAACTACACTGAGGGAAGTCTTTCTCGGTAAAAACTCGTGCCCTAGCGGCTTGCTGCGTAAGCAGGGGGATGGTGGAAGTACGTTCTCTCAGTGCTCACCAGTGACGCCCATAGATCTCTCTCTCTCTCTCCCCCTCTCTCTCTCCCTCTCTCTCTCCCTCCTATCGATGCAATCTACACAATCAGTCTTGTGCGTGTAGCCTGGCTTGCGTATTCTTGACCGATCGAGATTCTAGTTTGGTTGTACTTGATACCGATACCTTGTATTGCTGCCACTTTGGTGCTTGAAGCCATTTGAAATCTGACCAGCACTATCTTGTTTTGCATGCATCCCGGTGTTTCCAACTATATGACATGAGGCCAAACAGCGCTGACGAGTGGTTTGCTATAACTAGTTTACTTGGAAACAACTATGTTCAGGACACTCTTTCTCGTATGGAAAATCGTGCCCTAGCGGCTTGCTGTGTGTGTGGGAAACCCTGAATCAAAGGGTAAAAGCAGGGAGCCCGTGGACGCATAGATGGCACGTGCCAACAAAGACCCATCTATGTCGTCGTGAAAACGTACCTGCAAACTCCCATTGTCAGACATGGCAAGGTGGCCAAGCCAAGACCACCCATGCCAACATGACATGACATGACATGCTAACGTAATAGCATGACATGACATGTATCATTTCATCTCGTTTCACCCTCTCCCTTCAGGGTGTATCCAAGTAAGTGTGTGTGTGTGCGCGCATGCGAGTGTGGGTGTGGGTGCGGGTGGGTGTGGGTGTGGGTGGGTGCCCCGGCACGGCTACAGCGGCCAATTTGCTGCTACTGCAAAAGCACGGTGCTATTGCACTTTTTTCGCCCAATAACCCAAAGCAGCTTTCGCACCAAGCAGTTTGCACAGTTTTGCGCGGAATATTTTTCATTGGGAACAGTTTGCTTGATGGTTTTGGAAATGAAACGCTCTACTACAATACTGCGCCAATGCTATATTGCATCAAACACGTATACAAAGAAACCTGTACTGCAGCAAATTGTTTCAGGAATGGTTTTTAACATCCAGCATATTTTTCATTTGGCCCGCTTTGTGCCCAACATTGCCCAAAAGATTTGGTCAAATTGTGTTTTTGCCAAGACACTTTGAGCCGACTCGTTCTCTTTGAATTTGTTCAAGACATGCAGTCCACGTAACATGTTTGCTTTGGATCGCACGGTTTCCATTTTGATTTGTTTGGGCACTGTATTGCTTTGTTTGCGTTTCTGCCTCCTCTCATTAAACCGCAGAAATGCCCGTGAACCGAAAAACTTTAAATCGGTTGCTGGGAAGCCCAGGTGTATCGTTTCAACCGTCAAGGTGAAGGGCAAGCTAGATTTGGTCCAATCATAGCCGGGAAACCTGACAGATTTGCCTGGTTTGAATGGTCGATGGGCATACAGCA